TTAACAACTACAGCCATAGGCCGAATTCTTCAAAGACGACCTAGCGTATTTCTTGTGTGGTGAATGCTATCAGAGGACACAGAAAGGCTGGTTAAATTGGGTTCATAGTAAATAAAACATCATTCCCTGCGAAGAGATGCATTAAATTTAGGATTTATTGTACTAACAGACAGAGAAGACCATTTATTCACAACCCAATTCACATGTACAGTGCTGATTTTAATAGATACACTAACTCTTGTCAATAATTTTATATTATGTATTATTTATGTCCGTCGATTATTTTGTCTATACTAGTGATTTTTTACTCATTTTCTATCAGGAGACGAATTTTACTTTTTCGTTACAACGTGACAATAAAAGAATCTCGTACTGTTGCTTTACTTTTCTTGTGTTTTCTACATCATTATGCACCGATCTGCTTTACATGCGCCCAATTAAAATCAATAACAACTATAGTGCAACAAGTCGTGCACCGAATCTGACATCAGTCACACCCTATTGTAGCCCGTTGTTCTGGTGACGCCCAACACTTTAATACTTCTTGTATACCATATACAGTACAGCAATGGAAAAAACTAGTGAAGCACAGTGGTGGATCAGTATTGCGTATCTCGAAATTCTCATTATAGTTCAATCGAAAATTATATTTTATTACATAATCATGAATACAGTCATAATACACCACATTGCTTCGATTATTTTATATGACTATTATTATTCACCAGAGACAGCTGTATTGGTATGCGCCTTATAAATCCATTGATTGATATTCTTAAAAATCTTTAACACCAACGAAAATTTAGGAACATAACAAAATAGAGTAGGCCTAAGAGTGCTTTCAATCACTTTAAATAGGCCTAATTGAGATATCATAAGCATTGGGACTTCAACATTAACATAACATTGCCGTAAATGATCAAGACATGAGTTTTTTCATGGAAGAATAATAATCTGAATTCATATAACATGTATTAATACCGATATATTGTTATAATTAAATACACACAATATAACAAATAATACTCGACATATATTTTCAACTGCTGAAATGACCAAACATTACAATTATTATAGGACTTGTTACTTTTTTCACAAATTTGCATCAACTCAAGAACTTCGATGAATCCAATCGATGTTCGCCCATCGGACGGCCTGTCTGAACATGTTGTTTGGTGAACTATGAACTCGCCGTAGCACATGTTTTCATCATGACACCACGGCGGCAGCATGGATTCTTACTGCACCGACTGTCCCTGCATAAAAATATCTAATATTTTACACTAGGGCCTAGCCAGGGCCCAACTGTACCTGGAGTATAATTTATCATAACATAATATACTGCAGTACCACTGTACTTTATTATAAATTGAGAATGTGAGTACTTCAGTAATATTAAATAAATCGTCAACTGCCGAGCCAGAAATCGACTGCATCTGTATGTTAGGCTACTGTCATTTTGATTGTATTGATCGTCAGTCAGCGGAGGAAAATGACATTTTCAAATGATGTATGACTCAAAAACAAAAGTAACTGACGGAATTATTAATAGGTTTCCCTGTTACAACAATGACACATACGTACGCATCCATTGTGTACTACAGGGCTTGAATAGGGATTGTTAATTTGACGTGATCGACATTGATAAACAATTTCGGGTAGACGCGAGTGCGTCTAAATAACAATGTTTAGACGGTGTAGGCCTTGAACGGACGCGTCATGGACGCAAACAGGACGAAAACTGGATGCGTCTGTTGCGTCTAAAAATTTGCATTTTTTATGGACGGTACTGTATAATCAGGGCATGCAATTTCAAATACTAATGATGTATGTCAGATGTCACAATACATGGTACTATTTTAACAAGGTAAAGTCAGGGCAACACCATTCCAATAATCTTTAGTAAGCACCGCTCTCAAACAAGTGTGGATCTAGAGGCTCCAAAAATTGTACAAGCACGCAGCAGGTGTTGCCTTTGTACCAGAACCTGAAGGTAATATTTTATCTGAAGAGGAAGATGATTTTGCCTACAAAAACAAACAGAATTAATAGAGTCCATTATTATCAAACTAATTACAAATATAGCACTCCACCAAGTATTTTAACATAAACTAATGCTCAAACATGACTTCTCATTGCACATGTGCCCTTTGGCAGGTGCCAGAATAGTAACAGATTTCTTTCTAGGTTTTCCAAAGGACTTTGGTCAATCTCTAACAGCTGCACATAATGCTTAAATGCTTATTTAAATATTAACATCCTGTGCTTCCATCATAACTGACTGCTGGTGTGAGAGCGCCAGCTCCAACAACTTGTTACAGGTATACATTAGTAAAACATAGTTTAAAGGATGGGTGCTTAAAGTAAACTATGGTTGTTTTACATTACATGTACCCTTTGGCAGGAGCCAGAATGGAAACATAGATTTCCTCCTAGGTTTTTCCAAAGGACTCTGATCAATCTCTCCCCTATGAAACGGCCAATGTGAAAACATTTCTATATCACTTGGTAGCTGGAGGGGATTATTTAATTAATAATCTACTTTGAACACATCAGTACATTTTAATGTATTTCATAAGCCCACAGCCTGGCTCTGGAAGTAAGCAAGCAACAACTATCAAACTAACCAGTGAAAAGAACTAATAATGTTAATAGAAGACGAAATTTTAGAGATCCAGTAATGTGGATGAATATTTAACTGCCGTCTGTCTTTCAAAAACATATTTCCTCATAATTCGTAATAGATAATCATTCGCTTAATTAATTTTGTATAATAATAACTATATTAGTCGTTAACATATAACGATAGAGAATTTGAGAATTCACTGGAAATTTGCTTTCTTTGGAGAACTATTACAGTTGAGCACGAGCAAGGGCTGCGCCATTGTTGTTGTTGTTATGGTGAAACTATGTGACCACAACGCAAGTGGATTTCGTGCAAATCAGGAACTATCGCATGTGGCTAGCAAAACATGTTAATCTCTCCTTTTGCAAGCTCAACTTGTTGTCTCCTTTGTTTAACTTACCTACGTATACAATCGTTTTTATTGGTTTCGCTTTATTGTGAGTTACAAAAAGCTCGTTTTTAGTGGGGTAGATATTTGAAGTCAACGATTTAGCCTGACCGTAGGCCGACTAAAAAAAATTGGCCAGCAGGTATCATTTTAGTCGAGGTTTGCATGATTTAGTCATAGTGCTAGTCGAAGTTTGTTTTAAGAATACGAAATGACGTAATTTTGAAGTTTTAGTTCGAACTACGACTAAAGTCCGTTTTAAGAATACCGGGGTAATGCATAGTAACATTCACTCTGTATTAGCAATAATGCAAATATAAACCAAAACAAATTACCTTATGTGAATCACTAGATGACCTCCTGACACCACCAGATCCATCAAGAGCCTGAGCTTGTAGGAAGCTTACAAGTTGAGGTGTCGGTCGTTTTCTATATGCAACAAAATCCATCATGTTCCCATCTTTTTGCAAGAAAAATAATTCTATTAAATTTTCAGTATAGTTTTCTTTTAGTTCTTTCAGTTCTCGCTCTTTGCGTAGTAGGACACATCGACGCAGTTCTAGCAGATCGTCACTGCGGGGATTGTCCGGTAATTGTACTTGCATTTTTAACATTTTAGATGGATGAGAAGGCATATGACTTGCATGAGATGGGTTGCCTGTAGCCGAGATTGGACTTTTGCGACTGTTTGAACTTCGACCTGGGCTTGATCCACTTGTTCGTTTCTGAGTGGACAACTGGTTTGAAAGAGCTACAGGTATGCTCATAGTTGTGTTTAACTGTGGTACAGATATACACCCCTGTGTGTTCTGAAACTGCACGGTCTGTATAGTTTGAGGACTCGAGGTGACCATGTTAACTGTCTGTGGAAGCTGTAGAAGACGCCCATGTTGTAAAAGAAGCGGCGCTTGTCCAGTTGTTACACCCTGAACAGGGGATGTTGCATCCAGGATGCTACCTGATGGACTAACCGGTACCTTGATGAAGCTTGGCTGCTGTGACCCTTGGCCCGGAAAACTTCCAGTTCTTCTGGGAGACCCTTGGACAGACCTCAACTGGGATCCAGGCTGTTGGGTATTGATAGCTACCGCTGGATTTACCAGCTGGTGCTGTTGCGCCATGATCAACTGCAGTTGGTTCTGTGGTGATGCAGCACCTGGATTCTGGTTCAACCCAGAAGCAGCTGCAGCTGCAAGGACAGACTGGATAATATCAGCCGACTGTTGAGAGGGTGTTTGTCCATTTCCACGTTGCATACTTGGTTCTTTCAGTTATAACTACAAACAAAAATAAACGATGTTAGTCATTAGTAATTACCACTTTGACCCTTACCAACAATCTAATACTACAAGTTTCCTGGTTGAGATAAGAAAGTGTTTGCTCACAGTTTAATGGTTCCAACTTGCATGAAATAACTAACTCGGCACTACAACTGAGTTTAAAAGCCCCATTTACAGCAAAACCTGATTTTTATATATGTTAAAATTTATAATATAATATGGAATTGCTAGTTTAACCGAAATTAGACATTCCTACACATGAAAAAATGCAAATAAGAGTCAAATAACACAAAAAATAAATGCGGATGAATTTGTTTGTTTGATTTTGCGATTGGTCTATAGAAATATAGTACATGGAGGCACCAAAAGCATTAGCCTAGCAACACTGCTAGGCCAGGCCTAGCCTTACCTTGATTTGGTTTCTGATACATAAAAAACGGCTGACATAATATTTTCCGTTGCTAGTGTTGACACTTGTGAAATATAATATTTTGTTGGAAACATTTCAAAACTTGTTAAAAAATTATTCTGACCAATTAAATTAATTAAAGCAACATCTCATTAAGAGAAAGCGAAACTAAAGTTTAAGGTTAACAGTGGCAGATACAGGAATTCAAAAAGGAGGGGGCCCAGAGAGCCCCACCATGGTTGGCAAGAAAATTTTTAATGATGGCACCTCTAGGTAATCTTTAAAATTTGAATATAATTTTCTTTATATCTCCAAGAATGTCAACAATTCAAAGGTGGGGGGACTTCCCCGGGCTGGCTGGGCCCCTTGAATCGGCCACTGGTTAAGGTTTAGCCAGCTCCACTAATCAACACCTCAGATTTGTGTAGACTCTTCGGACCAATACCCATGGGATGGTGCATTTTATCGGCTGTTTACTAGGCCTATACTCTACCTTCCATTCATTAAGATAGTGAGAATGAAGTTACGGTTGCATTTCCATGAATCGTGTGTATACTCCACGAATGTCCCAGGGCTAACTAACAAGGCTGCACACGAATAAAAACATACTGAGCCATACAAAACAGGCTACGAGGACCATGAAAACGAAGTAGTGGGCTGTTTCACACGCAGAGTAAACTGCCGACAACGGACAACTCAATTATTAAAGTATCGAATACGAAAAACACAATTATGAATCGACCTAAGGCCTCGTAATCGTTCGGTTCGGTAGAAATTTAATTTATGCAAAATACGTAGGACTAAGTATAACAAATTACATGCATAAAATCTGTCCATGTCGTGACCTACAGTGCTCACATCTCTACATACCACTCGGCATGGCCACACGAGTTTCGTCGACCCTCTCTCATCGGCACTACGTAGCTAGCAAGCTGAATGAATGGGGTTGCCCAGCTCACGATGAGCCCTCTGGAGAAAATTACGAAAGAAAGCTGACTCACCCTTCAATCGGATAACATTACCCGCTGAAAATAACCCATCGGCAAGTCTGTACCCTCCATCCAAAATGTACAAAAACTTATAACACCAACATGACCACTATCTCAAGATATTAATCAATGTTAACTGAAAAATTTATGAATGATTGCCGACAACCTATTCCGCTCTGCAACGAAATGGCGGCTTCTTCTTGCATATTTTATGTAAATGAAGTCATAAGATCGAGCTCTTTGTGTGTAGAGCGCCCCCATAAGTCTAGTAATAACATCATTGATTGCGATCTGTTCATTCTTTACTACAGTATTTGATTGTTTATGTAACCATAACAGATGAATTTCGATTATTTTTTTCACATTATTTACACTAAACACCAACGGTACAGTTAACCATTAATACCGACAGCTTTCTTTATCATTATTCAATGATAGGTTTCACTCAACGACTATTTACCATCTTCCCTCTTTGCGGCCAAGAATATTGTTTTACAATCGAATATTTCTGACGTAGGCCTATCCCAATTTGGTGTGCTGCAGATTTAAGTTAAACCATGACTGTTAGACAAACTGGGCATTTTGGGTCATTATACCAAATAAATAATAACAGTGCTCGAATAGGTACGGTATGTTATACAGCCGTCCGAAAAAGTTCCCTTTTCCGGTTGTTTGAAAAATTGTCTAGTGGGATTCGAACTTCACCCTCTCTATCAAAATATCATACAATTAAACCGCATATGGGCCTACATTCATTCATAAAAATGAAATTATACTGAATAAGGAACGAATGATGACACAAATGCTGTCTTTATAATATTATAATTATATATAACTTGCCTATACAATAATAATTAAATCTATCTTCACGACAGTTTCTTTAACAACACCCATTCCCTCCATGATTCTTATCGTTGCCTTTAGTTTTTTAGGCAAGTTTAATTTGTATGAATGTTTGCATACATTTGTCTGGTATATTCATAATTATTTTGTAACTTTAAATTTTGTACTCATTTTTTAATGTACCTTGACCTGTTTAGGCCTAATGGGAGAACCTGATCTGAGACATTTATATAAACTATATATTATATTTCTATATACAGTTTTCTCAGTAGATAATAATCATTGTCGGATCCAGTTATTAGAAATAGAGGGGGCCCAGGGAGGATCCGTTATGGGGAGACTAACCACCCCGGTAGCTGAGGCGGTAAGAAAAGTTGATTATGGCCGGAATTATGGGCACACACTCATACGTAAAATTCGCCGTAATTTTTCTTGTTTTTTCTCTATTTTGTGTAGGCCTACAATTTTAGAAAAAAAATTTAGAAGGGGTGGGGGTTAGAACAAGCATAAGGGGAAAACAAAGAAAGAACTATATGCCTAGTCATATCTTTAATGTTCAATACGAAGTCAAAATACTAACTTCTGAAGGTACCCAGTGAAGTCATTCTTTATGTAATGGAAAATTCCAAGCTATCAAGACTCCGTTAAAAATGAAAATCTAAATCCGGGCTCTATATCAATTCGAAAAAGAACGAGAAATTTAATAATTATCATGAAATGCAAATCGAGAACAATATTGATGAGTAGCTTGAGAGATGAATCAATGTCAATTTCACCTTCCCTCATCATATAAAAGAGGATGAGATCACTGTTGTACCTTCTCTTTTCAAGTGTACTCAATTTCAGTCACCTAAGACGGTCGTCATATCTCATAAGAGTTTCTTTCCTCCATGGTCATATGAAAGGTCATAGTTATAATTACATATCACCCTAGTTGCTCGTTTTGTATTTTTTCTATCATGTTTTTTCTTTTACTTTATATGGAGACCAAACCTGACAAACAGTCGAGTTTGCTCCAAACAATTGCACAATATAATACTGTACTTGTAACGTAAACTGATGTTATGAAAGTCCTATAAATAAAACCTCAACTTATTTGCCTTGCGGCATGTTTCTGAAATGTGGGAATTAAAAGTTAAATGATATGAAAATGTTACACCCAAGTCTTTATAATTATTAAATAACTGAAGAGTAATACTATTTACAGAATACATAAATGGCAATTTAATTCGTTGATTATGGCTATGCATTTGCATGACTTTACAGAATGGCGCATAGGGCCTATCAATCCAAGAGATAGGCCTAAATGTATGTCTTCGACCCAAACGTTATGCTAAAAAAATAATTATTAATGGTATATCATTATGTTGCTAGTTCACTGTAAGTGTCTGTTCTTGAGCTAATAATTCAACTACTGTATGTATAAAGTACTGTATTACCATTTTGTTTTGATGTACAGTATTACTTTTGATAGAAAACGCAGTATACGCTACTGTTTTAGTACCCATGCTAATGATTGCTGAAGTTTATACTAGAAAAAAATAATTATTACAAGAAAAACACTCAAATAGTAAGATGCTCTTCATTTATTATATGGCAAAATACAAAGAGTATACAATAGAATCAACAATCTTTACACTATTTAAAGTTTCATGTTACCATCTAAAATCATCATTTTTTTTCTGAAAACAAGATCAAATCAGAATATTTACTATTATTATATTATAAATGTGATCATATGCCATCATGTCATTGTCAACAAATTAATGTACAAGAAGTAAACGATTGTGAAAACCAATATCGGACTCATTTCCCACTACCTATAAATACAGGTCTCCCTCTAATTAAAGACCCCTCCAATTAAAGACCACTTTTCTGTAGTCCCATATTAAAAAATGTCTATTGTTTTTATTCTAAAGAGAACAGTGACAGCAAAAGCAGGGGGGAGGGGGGAGGGAATGGGAATTTGTTTCCTAGATCATTTTCTTTCCCCCTTAGTTTTCCACCGCCCCAAAAAAGAGGAAAAACTACAAAATATGTATTTTCTACATATTAGTAAAAACTATCTATCTATGAAATCGATTAAATAAGCCTCTGAAGGGAGACCTGTAGTAGATGTTACAGTACTTCCTCAAGTATAAGCCCACATTGGGAATAAGCCCTTTCCCTACTTTATATTCCATTTTGAAAACCAGCATTTTCCCCAGCAAAAGCCCAGTGGATATTAGGAATGAGTAGCTCAGATAAAGATTGGCTTTGAATTTGACATGCAGTATTCAAAACCTGACTTTTGAATGGCCATCTCTATGAAGTAATACCAAAAGAGAAGTAAGGATATCAAAAAATAAATTTATATTATTTTATGGTCAGCATATTTTCCCAGTTATATTTTTAAATTCCATGAATTTCCTGTTATTGCTTATATCTTTAAAAATATATTTCCAGGATGCTGTATATTATCACTTTGTCACTCACTAAAACATTTCCATCACTACATTATCTGTATTATTCATTTTATCAACTTGAACTGGAAGTTAAATTTCACTGTTTGCATTTCCATCACTACAGGAACTGTACATTCAACTTGAACAGTTGTAAAGTTAATTTAATTTTTGGCACTTTCATCACTATCTTCATTCTCTTTACTCGAATCAGACATTATTGAATCTTCTACTATGCTCGAGTTTAAGGACTTCTTATGTTTTTTATTGAGGAGGTCTGGATTGTTCTTCCAGTAATAATTGTAGAATGATTTGATCGTGTTTTCTTGCAGGTTCTCCTCATCATTCATGTGACTTTCATACTTCCATGAATGAGGCAAGGGAGCTGTGAGGTTCCTCCATGCGTTGGCTTCAAAAGGAAAAAAAAATCTATTAATTAAAACATTAAAATTATTTACATAGTCCTATAGAGTACTACAGCATTACATCACGATACCGCATGATACCGATGCAAAAAGCGTTTAACCGGGCGCCATTTTTTCCACTGACAAACCATTGATCCCAATTTCTAACGTAATTATTAAGATGTTGTATCTTACTTTTTCTTTGTAAATTTTAATTGATGATTAAATGTGTGTTCAATAACAAATATAATGCGAGCTTTTGGGTTTTTAGTACATTTTAATGACAAAATATTAGATTTCAATAATGCCTATTCCTGAAAGGCTATGAAGTCATTCAGGCGTAATGAACGGTAACCAACATCTGTTGCCAACAGAGAGCGGCACCTGGCATCGTGACGACAAGACTATGGTACTCTATGTAAAATATATTTACAGTAATTACTTAATTGGGTTGATGGGCTTTTGGGTTAAAGTGTCCGTCACTATCATCAATCCTAGCCATCTTAGGTTATTTTTCAATTTGTTATTTCTGTTGCTCTTACTGTGTAAATTGTATTGTACATTTGTTTGGCTGAATAAAGAATGAATGAATGAATAAATAATCAATAATTCTCACTATGAATATTACCAAAAATTCACATTCATTATCTTACAGCAGACTACTTAAAACACAGAAAATGTCACAAAATTTCCTCAAGCTGAATAATTTTTAAACAAAGCACACCACACACAAAAGTAAATAGAGCTTTCCCGAATAACCAGTTAGGCAAAAAATAGCAAACTGACAAATATATTTTCACAAGCCATGATGTAAACGAATTGCAAAATTTCACTGTACATGCAAATAAGCAGCTTTGAAAATTGATATACATGGCCATTTATGACACTGCTTACTTGAGTGTGGCAGGCTTTAATGTGCTAATTTAATTTTTTTTGTGATTAAGAGTTGACATGTGTCTCAAAGAGACATTTTAGTAGTGGCGGTGCCAGCGTCTGAAATCTGGGAGGGGGAGGGGCAAGTTAGGGGAAATATTATGGAGAGAAGGAAAGTGCAGGGGCAAGGTAAATTCTTAAAAGGAGATACAATTTAAGATAAGAGAAAACAGGTAAGAAAAAATTATACACATTGCTGGTATTGATCATGATCAGCACATTACCAGATAAGCAAATGTACTGCGTCAACTTCACTAAAGCAATTGATATGATTGGGGGGGGGGGGGCCTGTAGCACTGCAAGTCAGATTTTTTCTTACCATTCTTAGGAAACCCTCTTGAAGTGAACTTCCATTTCTGAAGGAATTGTTCATCATTATCTGTTAAAAGTTTAGGTGCCACATGAGAAGAACTCGCCAGTTCCATGATGACAATGTTGTCATCTATTGTTTCTTCATCTCCAACTGAGTCTTCCCAAACTTCAGCATAGTCACTCTGATGTGAGACATTACATATGTTAACTGCTTCAGCAGCTTTGTTTGGTATCTCACCATCAATGCATGTTTCATCAGAGTCAATTTTATCAGATTTAACACCATCTATAGTGATGTCATTCTCTCCAGATGAAAGTGTTTCATCAATCACTAATTCACATTTACTACCGACACTAATATCATCTAAAATTTCTTCTGTGTTTTCACATAGTATCTTATCACTATTGTCTTTAGATATTAACATTTTCTTTTCTTTATAATCATGTTCTGATTCTTTCAGTTCCCTCCAATCCTCCTTATGTTTCTCCTTGTGAGTGTCTCTATAATTACTTGGACCTCCCCGTAAAACCTCTTCATTTTCATAATCATTGTGATTCTGTTCATTCTCAGGTCTACTGTCTGAAGAACTAGTTTTTCTATCCATCACTGGTTCCCTATATAACTCTTTGCTTCTTTTCATCTTTCTTTTTTTGTTATATGTCTTATCTTCCTGTGCAGCTTTGTCAATTATATTGTTTGATATATTTTTGTTTACTGATACATCAGTCCCTTCATCTACAATTTCCCCGCTCATACTTTCAGGTATTGCCTGTAGTTCACAAGCAGACAAATGTAGTTGGTTATCAGTGGATTTTTTGTGTTTCCTTTTCTTCTTCTTTTTTATTTTCAACAAGCTAATCTCTTCTTCTGCAAATTCACCTCCTTGGTCTTCCAATAATTCCTCTTCTCTTAAATTAACGAAATGTTTTTCATCATTTTTATTCTGACTTTCTATCTTAATCTCATTCTCACCTTCTTGGCTTTTATCAGTGGATTGTTTGTGTTTCTTTTTCTTCCTCTTTTTTGATAAGGTAATCTCTTCCTCTGCCAATCCACCCCTGTTTTCTTCCAATACTTTTTCCCCTCTAAAACTAACCAAATGTTCTTCAATATTATTATTATGTCTTTCTGACTTTACCTCATCATCATCATCTTCTTGGCTTATATCAATGGATCGTTTACGTTTCTTCTTCTTTCTCTTTTTTAACAAGGTATTCTCTTCCTCTGCCAATTCACCCTTTTTGTCTTCTATTACTTTTTCTTCTCTAAAACTAACCAAATGTTCAGCAATATCATGACTTCCTATCTTCACTTCTTGCTCAATTCCTTCACTATTATTGATGGATCGTTTGCGTTTCTTTTTCTTTTTCAAAAAGCTTGTCTGTTCTGCAATATCCCCATTGTTTTCCAACAATTTCTTTCTTTCAAGCGTTACAACTTGTTCCTCAGCAACATTATGACTTTCAGTCTCCCCCTTATTCTCATTTTCTGTGTTCACTTCTATGGATCTTTTATGTTTCTTGTGCTTTCTTTTCCTTGAGCTAGTTTCATCCACTGCAACTTCACTGTCTTTGTTTTCCAATAGTTCCTCTTCTTCATATAAAACCAAATGTCCATGAGTATCATAAAATCCTGTCTTGACTTCAATGTTATCTGGTGGGCTCATTTCTATGGAACGTTTGTGTTTCTTCTTCTTTTTCCTTGACATGCTAGCACTTTCTTCAGGTTTTGTCTGTTCACAGCTCTTATCTGCTGATACTTCTCCTCCTTCAAATGTCGGCTGATGATCTTCAATCATTTCAGAAATTCCAGTACTTGTGTTGCTCTCCTGTTCTTGGTTATTCTCCACTGATCCTTTGAGTTTCTTTTCCTTCTTTGATTTATTTTCCTTTGAAATTTCACAATTCCTATCTGATGATACATCCTGTTCTCCACAAGTAACAATATGATCTTTAAGAGTATTGCTGCTTTCTGTTTTAATTTCATCCTCCTTACTGTGAATAAATTCACTGGATTTTTTGTGTTTCTTTTTCCTCTTTGTTACACTTGGTGCCTCCTCTGATACATCAAAACTCTTATTTCCAGAAGCGTCACCACTACACGAAACAAGACTGTCTTCAATATTACTTCTGGTCATTGTATCCTCCTTTTCATGAATACATTCATTGGATCTTTTGTGTTTCTTTTTCGAAATACAAGTTACCCCCTCCTCTATTTCGCAGTTCATTTTTGCAGGTGCCTCACCTTCAAAAGTCTCCAATTGATCTCCAATGTTTTCTTCAGCAGAATTTTCAAATAGGTCTTTTTTAGATTTCTTTGATTTCTTTTTCTTATTCTGCAGTAGCACAAGCTTTTTGGCTGCGTCTTCATTATCATCTACGCTAATGCCACCTCCATCACACTGATTCTTTTCTATATTACCATGACCATTTGCACTCACAGCTATTATCTGTGGTTCACGACCCGTTTTACTGTCTGAAACAATATTCATTATTTTTTTACTACTACTTTTGGTTTTTTTCCGCTTTACAGTCTGAGTTTCAGTGATGTCTGTTGCATCATCAGCTTTTCTTTTCTTCTCCAATTCTTGAAATACTTCAATACCCGTACTAGTACTAGATTTTAACTCCTCAAGCGGTTCCAAGTTACCTTCCCCAGAATGCCTCTTTTTATGCTTTTTTCTCTTATGTTTTTTACCTACCAATTTTTCATCCATTTCTTCAACAGCTGACAAGTAATTTTCATTTATGTTATCACCAATTTCAGGAATCTCAAGTATATGTTCATCCATGGTTTTTGGTTTTTTCCTGTCCTCCTTTGTCTTCTTTTTATGATGAACATTAGTTATACCATTACTTTCCTCACTTACTAGTGTTTCATCAACAGCTTTCGTGAATTTCACATACAAATTTTGACTCAATGGATCACAAACATTTTCCTCATAAACCTGGTTTTTCTTCTTATTCTTTGTACTTTTTTTCAGTTCTGTTTCCTTTAGATCGTTACTATCTTGGTCTACTGTTGACAAGTTACTTTTAGGTTCTTGATTGGATTTTTTATGAGAGACTTTCTTCATAAGAAAATCTGAATAGTTAATAAATTCACAATCAACTTTATCATTGCTCGCAATATTTTCTTTTGATTTCTTCTTCTTCCTTTTGTGCATATTCTTTCCTTTAAGATCACTGGTTTGGTCCACTGATATTTTAGGTAGATTTATTGTAGATTCACAATATGTTGCATCATAAATTCTTTCATTTGTTCCACTAAGTGCCCTTCTAGAGAAGGTTTTATTTTCATTAAAATTCAATTCATATAAATCTTTTCCTGTTGATATTGTTTCTGATACACCGCCCTCTGCATTTGCAAGCATTTCATTTAAATTGTTCCTGTTATCATCATCACCACCATTAACATCATCAACCATCATTAACAAACTCCGTGTTTGCTTACCTACATCATTCGTATGATTTGAGTAAGGTTCAGTTAAATGTAGATCAATGTTAATGTCAGTAGCATTCATGTGCTGCGTTTTGTTAAAACAATTACTCTGAACCTCTCCTACAACACTGTTTTCTTTCTTTTTAAGTTCACTTTTCTTTTCATTATGATTTTTTTTAATTGATTTTTTATGTTTTGATTTCTTGTGCTTTCCATCTGACTTTCTTTTCTTGGTTTTCTTCTTTAATTTCTTGTGTTTTTTCTTTCTTTCATTCTTTGTTCCATCAGGCATCTTTATTAGTTCTTGTTCCATGTTTTTAACTCCAGCATCACCATTTTTGTCATGGTGAAGAATACTTTCACTGCTATTTTCAATAACCCCCAAAACTTCCATGTTATTTTTCTTCACGTGCATGACGCTGGTGACCAGACCTGCATCTTTGCCACTAACACTGATAACTTCAGAATGCCTCAGCACTACATTTTCCCCCAGTGCATTGGTGATATGGTTGTCGTCATCTTCAATACCTTTTCTTACCACTGAGTTAAGATCAGGTAAAGTAGTTTGATCAATTTCTTTAATTATTTTCTTGAAATTTTTAGGAGGAATGACATCAAGTTCACTCTCATCATCAAAGCTGCACGATAAATTTCTTGTCTTCTTCTGTCGACCTACAACTTTCTCAAGCTCTTTCTGATTAACACTTGGTTTATTTACAAATGGCTGTTGACTTGCTCCCATAGCATCTGTTTTAGTTGATTTTCCTTGTTGGTTATTTACAATATCAGTTCTTTGATTTGTATGTGCTTTTGCTGGAAGACTGTTAATAAGCTGATTGATCTGTACGTTAGATGACTTCCTGCTGGTTCCAACATTCTGTTTTAGTTTGATTTCACTAGAGGTGGTAGTAGCAGCAACACTAGGGGATCTGCCTGACATTCCTTGTACTATTAATGGTGGTAAATTGGTCAAAGGTTCCTTTAAAATACCTTCACTTAATAGTGTGGTTTCCTTATGCTTGTTTTGCTTATGAGAATCACCTTTTTTCTTTGATTTCCTAGGTTTATCCTTTGAATCATGCTTACCTTTTTTATGTTTTTTCAGTTTTTTAGACTTTTTCTTTTTATGAGACATTTGAGATTGTGGAGTCATTGATAACAGAGCAGAAACTTGCGCCATTAATACATCTGAAGTATTTTTATCAAGGCGAGATTCAAGTCCACAACGTATTTCATCTAATTTAGTCCTTTGTTGACTAAGCATTCCTTTGGATGTCTCTGCGATCCCAATATCAGGTGCGATGTTCTTATGTTGCTGAGTAAGACGTGGTGTACTTGTTGCTAGCTTTGTGATATCATTAGAAAATTGTGGGAGAGAAGAGTTACTACTATTCAAATCAAATGTCTTGCTCTTGGTTTTTAATGTTGATTTTAAATGTTTAGCACTTCCTGAGGTGTTCTTGGAAGTTCCTTGGCAAGCAGCAGACACCTCACTACTAATATTGTTGATATCAACATTTAAATCTTCATTCTGAAATATACCTTTTACAAAATGCTGCTTGTTTTTCTTCTTTGCACTTGCATCCTTTTTCTCTTTACTTGAAGAATGTTTAATTTTATGTTTTGATTTCTTCTTGTTTTTCAGTATCTTCACAGAGTTATCAGATAGTCCTAACTCTTTCTTTGATTTAGTTTTCTTCTTTTTATGCTTCATATTTTCTAATTTATTTGATCAATTTTCCTTGTCGAATCCAATCTTTAAAAAATCTGAATCAGTATCAAATTTACTGTATTCCATAACTATCCTTCTTTCATTTCATTTTGCTTCGAGGGAATTTAAAATACGTCAACCTAAAAAAGAAAAACATACAGTCATATAATTAATTATTCTAATATCAATTGTGGGCAAGTACCCCAATATTTTTTATACATTAATAATGACAGATATACGAAGGTAAATTAACATACAGTTCAAAATACTGCATATTCACAAGACGAGGCTAGCAAATTATGATTGACAAACAGGGGTTGTCTTATACGCGCAACACATATACTATTTACATTTTTAAATCATGTTTGTCTTATGTGTGGATCATCTGTAACACGCAAATACTACTAAAATGAAGCTAATGTACTAACTGTTAGTATGAATGAATACAATTTTAAATGCAGGGAAATAAGACTTATAAAATGGTAATATTTGGAAGATTTAGTCCTACATTTGGCTGTTCTTAGGTGTAGTATCAAGGCCATTAAGAGCAGCAAAAAATAGAAATTTCAACAGTGAAACATGGGGGGGGGGGTGGAGATTTGTCTTACATGCCCGACGTACAACAATCGTCCAGAATTCTTCTCAAACTTGGGGGTCGTCATACGGTGTATTTCGTTACTTAGTACACTTTCCAGTCTTAGCTACTTTTCACCAAATTATATTATATTTCATTAACATTTTTTACCAAGTGCCGGTGCCAGGGTACTACAGCCCCCTCATCAGACAAGTCAAGGGCCCCCACCGGCCGAGTTCTTAGTGCAGTCCGACCAAAAAAAAATTTTAAAATAGGCCTAAAGTACATCAAGACAACATCTCTTTCACAGTCGTAGAGTGCCATTTTCATTCATTCAGAGGTGCCTATTTAAAAAATAAATCTGATTTGGGAGGGTGGGGGGTGACCCAAATAGTTAAGTTTAGAGTGTTCTCTTATATTTGTGGAGGAATTTATTCTGTCTTTTTGTCTGCTATTCCTTGGCGGCAATGCTTTATGGTGTCTAGAAAAGTAAAACATTCGATTAATCTTACTTCTGTAGATCTAGAAAAGTAAGATACTGTATCTTACTTTTGTCAGCCAAAAAATAAGAACACTGAGCCTGGGCAAATTTTTACTGGTTCTTATAAAAAAAAAGTGTATATACTGTGGTGTATTTAGGAGCATTGAAAGGGAAAGGGGCTGATGGGTGATGGGAGGGAGGCTCCATGATTTGTGAGGGAAGCTAGCTCACAAAATAAGGTAATTTTATGTGGTTTTTAACTACTTTAAGCATGACATTTTTTTGGCGGGGGGAGGGCAGGGGAGAGACAGGGGAGCATGAGTATTTTTTGGAGGGGCGTATGGATGAATATATGTTTATTATTAGGCCTATATAGATTAGGAAACTGCCTTGATAATATGTGATAGCACTTAGAAACAACAAACTGGGTAATGCAGATAATACTGTACCGGTACATTTTTAAATGTAGACAGTAGAGGAATTTGAAAACCTATTTAAAATAAATAACAATACGTGCTCTTTGTGAATTTGACCACCATCTGTCTGAAATCCTATATTTCATTGCCCTCTTTGTGGGACTGGCCCTACCAAGGTATCTAAAGTTAGACTAACCATTACCACTAATGGGATAATGAGTTTACCATTGTCTTACATGGTGGTAAACCTAAGGTATTCTATCCCTTCTTTCTTGACTGAGCAAACTTGATTATTCATACAGCATACATATGTAATTCAATTTGAGCTTTTCCTAAAAATTTTGTATCCTATTTGAGATCCAGCGATCGTTACCCACAGTTTTTAGTATTTTGACTTTATATTGCTGACTTAATCCATAACTAAACATTATCAGATCTACAAGGTGAATATCCTGAAGGGAGCTGGTCACTGTCCTGTATTTATCTTGTACAGTACCGGACAGTTTTATTGCAAAAATTCAACGCATTCAACCCGTTGCGTTTTCGTTGACAACGCGTTGGCGTTTTCGTTGGCGTTGTCGTTGAAACTGTTGACATCGTTGAGAGCTCAGAAATAGTTTATTCTGAATTCAACGCAAAGCGTTGAATTAACAGCTGTCTCTTATACACATCCTAAACATTATCAGATCTACAAGGTGAATATCCTGAAGGGAGCTGGTCACTGTCCTGTATTTATCTTGTAGCCTTAATAAAATAATTTCTTTGGATAAAATATTTGGAGCTGGTCTTGGAAACATAAGGTTAAATATTTAAAGTGAGGTGAAGAAATATATAAAAAAATAGATAAACAGACAGATGAGTAGAGGTAGAGTGAAAACAGGTATAAATTGAACCTAACAAACTGAGGATTTAGATATAGGCATCCAAAAAAGAGTACTGTAAATTTTCAATAAATAACCACACGAATAATCAATTTCTAATTTTCTTGTATTGATGCTAGATAAATATAAATGTACTGTATGAGGAAAGCAACTAATGATTATCTAGAAAGTTTAACAATCTAATGAATTAATCCAACCTGTAGAATTTCCATTAATCCAAAAAAAAAAAAAAAATCCAAATGGTCTGTACAGTAAAATCACAGAACCGGGTTTGTGGTAAAATTAAGGATATATTACTTCCAAATTCTTTAGTAAAAATGAACCCCACTTGAGAGATAATGGTATAACCTCATTTTACGCTTTAAAATCAAAACTACCTCTGATATAATGATACAATCCTTCATTAAAAATCTTACTTTTCTAGATCTAGTGAGTAAGATTCATCTTACTTTTCTAGATCTAGAAAAGTAAGATAAACAAACAGAAGCTAAACAAAGATTCATCATACTTATCTAGATCTAGAAAAGTAAGATAAATTTTACAGTATGTCTTACTTTTCTAGACACCCAATACTTCAGTGGGAACCGAACCAGTCAGCTCGCTCCCTAACAAACTCACCCTTGCAATCTGCCCCCACCCCCTTAACAAACTCCTCCTTACAAAGTTTCCCCCTAAAAAAACTCACCCCTTACAACCTCGCTCCCCTGACTATAAGCGACAGTCGCCCTCTTTCACTGGAATCCGCTATTAGTACGTCTCTCTACTTGTTATTATTTGAAAAAAAAAAAAAAATACACCAGTAGGCTAAGTATACTGAGACTACATTTACGTTTACATAGGTACATCCTCCAAAGGACCTAATATAGTCCATAACCGCAGGGTTGCAGGGGCTGTATGGACCAGACCAGTGTAACCCCTACTCAAAAGATGCACTGGGTTCTTTAAAGCGCATGCACATAACTTAATAAGCCAATTGTGTACATTGGGCCTACGGTATAGTCCTTATTCGAAAAGACTTGCTCCACCACCAGAACCATAGACGAGCATGATGTCCGAACCAGCATCACTAATATGCAAGTTATATAGTTATATGTAAGTTAAGCAGGTTGCGGCACCCCTGCCTCCAACACTCAACCATTCGACTCACTACACTGCTGCAGGCAGAAGTCCAGTTGTTTTTGTATTTTCAAACCTGTTCAAAAAAATAATACAACTAAGCTAGCTAGGCCAATTGTAGCATCGGCAACTACACGCACTGAACTTTCCCCTACCTAGACACCGCTCCTCCCACCTACTAGCAACTGCGATATTTAGGCCTACAGGAGGCTAATCCTGGCCTAGATGGCCTGTCTGGTAGGCCCAGGCCTCCTCCTAGCTTAGCTAGGTGAAGGGCAGGTGGTAATAGCTAGGCAGGCTAGCAACCTACAAGGATAGTCATGTAAACACTGGCGACGGAATCTGAAGAAATACATTACCATCCATTTATTAATGCTTGGCATACGTTACGCTTGTTTAGCAAACCATAAAACACAACATGTGCATGCACGACGACACAGCAGAACAACAACACAACAGCGATGGTGTCATTTGATATCATTGGTGGGGTGGCACTTTTTCCATGAACTTAAATCCTGGTTTTGAAACGACGTCTTGGTATTATAATTTGAGGTTATACTTTGCTGTACAATTAACTATGTATTGTTGGTATTATATTAATTAAATTGTTGGTATTATATTAATTAAATCATTGATATATTAATTTAATTATTGGTATAATAATAATAAAATATAAATTTAATTGTTGGTATTATACTACATTATTAGGACCAAAGTGTCCCATAAATCCAAAAATGTTGTGATGGCCACGTCTCTTAATGGGAAAATCCAAAAATATTTTTCGTTGTAAAAAAAAAAAATAAAACCAAACAAAAACACTAAAATGCCGAACCTCCAATTCGTACATTTATTTCATTACATTCCACAGAATAGGGGTTGGCCGTAGTAAAAGATATATCCCTCACTTCACGGCCAAAGTGTGCCCTTAAAGGTGTCCCAAAGGAGTAGTTCAATTCTTGGTTTTTGTGTCTGCCCCCTCGGGGGAAAAGATACTATGTTGTTGTCGTCTGGCAGTTAAAGATATGGCTCGAGGTAAATCGTGGAGGTGCATGATGGGTCATGTGTCATCTTAAGTACCTGTACTAAAATCATAAAAAAAAAATACACCACCATTTAATGATACTGTAACCGAAACCCATGTATATGTGGATACTTTATTAGTAAACATAATACAGTAAGGCAGATAAGGTTATTAGTGTAAGTTAATCATTTTTTTAAATTCAGATGTCAGAAAAAATACCATACTTTGGATAAACAACTCCTTGATTTTCCTATAAATTCTGAAAAAACCCCTAGTTTAAAAAAGTACATAAAAACCAAAGAGGACATTTGCTGGTGTGATTATAATTACTGTTTCACATATCAGGAAATCCTATTCCCCTTGTTGGTGACATGACCCATCAAACTGACACTCAACATGACTTTCCACATGGTATTCCATTTATTATTAGTTTATAAAAATTATATTTTTATTACAGTATACTGTAAAACCTTGAATAGGTTATACTAAATAATTGTTGGTGTTATGCGCACTTTAAAGAAATAAGTACATCTTTCGAAAAGAGTATGGGATTACCCTGTTGTACTGGCCCATACGGCCCCTGTTGTCTTGTGATGGGATTGCCACTTTAAAGAGTGATTTAGTTCGCTGTTTGGTATATCCTTGGCCCTTGTGCCTAACGCTGAATAAATATTAACTAAATAATTCAGGTGTTTTTTTTTGTATACTTATTATGACTTGGTAATGACGTGTTTAATTCAGGTGTTTTTTTTTTGTATACTTATTGTGACTTGGTAATGTAGTGTTTAATTCAGGTGTTTTTTTTTTGTATACTTATTGTGACTTGGTAATGTAGTGTTTAATTCAGGTGTTTTTTTTTTTGTATACTTATTATGACTTGGTAATGTAGTGTTTAATTCAGGTGTTTTTTTTTTGTATACTTATTATGACTTGGTAATGTAGTGTTTAATTCAGGTGTTTTTTTTTGTATACTTATTATGACTTGGTAATGTAGTGTTTAATTCAGGTGTTTTTTTTTGTATACTTATTATGACTTGGTAATGTAGTGTGATGCAGAAAACATCACTCCAGTAACATTCAATATTGAGAAGGCTAACAACAAAACACGTAAACATATGATTTCATCAGGATTCACTGAACGATAATATTTATTATGAATTCTAAACAACAAAATTCAGAAGCCATTTACATTTATCACAAGATAAAACAAAAATCGCAGGTATGTGAATGGCAGGCCTACGGTAATAAAACATTTTGAAATTTCTGTAAAAGGGCTGGTCTTTAGTAGATAAAATTAAAATGTTAAAGCTCAAGAAATTTGATAAGTATGTCCTTATAAGGAGATCTTGGTAGTCTGGTTGTAGGAGAAACAACAACAAAACATCACAGAAACTCTTTAATTCATAGTGCAATAAATCTATTTATAAAGCTTTCATTTATGGCAATACTGTTTTTATATTTTATATATTATTTTCTTTATGACCTGTCTTTTGAAAATGAATTTCATATATTTTATGAAATTGTAAACATACGAAAAATAAAAGAAATCTTGAATCTTGACATTATATGTCTTTGTCTGTGTAATGGCTTTTTTTTCCCAGGCCTGGCATTATACTTTAAAACATGTGTAAAATGATTAAATACCATATTGATAAAATTTATAAAATATCTAAATAAAATATATACATTTTTGTCAGCCATGATTTTATCTATAAAATACATAGTGATGTAATTAGGCATAAAATAGCACAAATACATGATGAGCAGTTAATCATAGTTCAATGCTCACTTTACAAAAAAACTGAAATGGTTAAAAACAATCGCCAAAATGGAGACTTAATAAACTATGCTTAGAGGAAACAAATTAAAAAAATATACAATATTAAGGTAATATATATACTGTCTCTTATACACATCTAGATGTGTATAAGAGACAGGGCTAATACTGTATATTTTTTTTAAATTGGAGAAGTGCAAGATCAGGGGAATGTGCTGTGCGAAAACAATTCTAAACGAGTTAATTTTTCAAGTAATTTTGAAAAACATGGGAGTATTGCAATTGGCCTATAGCTGTTTAATTGATGAGGGTCATTTTTTTATAGATTGGTATGATTTTTGCTACTTTTAGAGCATTAGGAAATTTTCCAGATTTAAAGGAGATATTGAAAATATGAGATAAAGGTTTACAAATAAAAGGAGATATTTTCTTGATAACATTAGGGTGAATGTCATCATGTCCGGGACTTTTATTATTTTTTGAAATTGTCTGTTATGTCAATTATATCCTTGTCTGTTACAGGTGTAAGGAACATTGAATGGTTGTTAGGCGGATTAATATATGTTGAAAATTGGCCTCGGATGATCTAATTGATTGGGAGAGTTTATGCCCAGTTTTGACAAAATATATATTGAATTCAGTTGAAATTTGGAATTCATCAGTAATTCTGGTATTATTCTTTAATATGCGAGAGGGAAATTTTGGATTTGTATTTCTGTCGAGAGCTAGAATTAATAGTTTGCCATATTTTCTATTTTTGTCGTTTTTATTATCAAATTGTGATTTATAGCATTTCCTACATGATATTCTGATTAAATTAGTTAATTTGTTTCTGAAAATGTGTTTTTGTTGTTATTACTGTTTATATGCAAAAAAAATAATAAGCACTTCCTGTATTGCTCAAGAAAATTTTATACAATTTGTTTTTGTTTCTAAAATTTTGATCATATTCTGTGATTATAAAAACAAGCTTATACAATGTAAAAGCTATTTCCATCAATTAAACTGAAATTAGGTCTTTGGTTATAGCAACAGCTGGAACAGCAACACACTGTATTCCAATTATATGATTTGACAGGTTCTTGGAGGATATGGACAGTTGTTCCTTGGATGCAGAAATACTTGGAATATGTTTAACTGTCAATAACCCTGTCAAAAAGTCAGGTAAAATTGAGAACAAACTGCCTCTGCACTTTAAGGGGATTCCTTGGTAATCACTGTTGCCCTTAGCCCAGAAACCAGTGAATGTATCATAGAAATAGAAGTTATTCCAATTGCTAAGTATCAGGAACTCATTAAAGGGCACTGCTCTCATGTCTCGTAGTTTTTGGAAGGAAGGTATGCTTGTGTGTTTTCTTGTACTCCACAAATCAAGAGTAGGTTCGTAAACCTGTTCGCAAAATTCTTCAATTAGAAAGATCTTTCCAATGCACTCAGCAAATATGGGGCGGTAACTCATGGAGATTTTTGACGGTGGTGGACTCAGATTCTTCCATGATTCCAATTCATGGTCATAGCCAAAAAGTGATCCATAACCAGTGTCATCAATGACAAGTAGATAGGCATGGTTGTCTAAACTTACAACTTGGCAATAGCTTTTGAGGATGCAAGGTGGTGGGATAGATCTAGCAGAATTAGTGCTAAGCTCAATGACAAGCAACTGTCTTTGCTGCGTGACAGCAAGCAATGTTCCGTTTCCAAGGCTTGCTAATGATGTCCACATTGAATAGGTTGAATCCTTCTGGGAAGGGACTATCTGGAGGCTGTCGTAGTCAAACCATGATCCAAAATTAGAGTTGGAATCTGGATGAAAGCAGCACGTATGAAGTCGCTGCATTGCAGGTGCTGCGTTGCTATTATCATTGGCAACGTTCTCGGCGGAAGGAGTCCATACAAACATCACAATTGTTTCATTCTGTGCCAATTTTTCTGATCCATTTGCAGAAACATTAAGGGCAGGTCTCAATCGTTGTAATGGTGATAACTGCCTGTAAAACTTCACTCCAGACAGATGCATTTGAATCTCTGGTCCATAGTTACATGACAGATCTAGGCCACTGTAGCTAGATGGATTTAGATGTGTTTTCAAAACTTTAAGGACGTTAGATACCAGATTAGTCCTGTTCTTTAAGTCATGTTTATACCATCTGTTCAGGGCCTTGAGAAGCACAATGGGTGAATGTAGAAGAATGTTTGATGTTGATACAATATCAATCAAATTGACATCTGTCACATATAAAAAGTTTTCATGCTCACTGACTGGCAAGAAATTTTGCTGGATGTATTTCTTTGTTGCTTCACATAGAGGGCGGTAAACATGAAAAAGGCTTGAGAACATAAAGACAGCGATGCTATTCTCTACAGTAATTTCTTTCATCACACTTTTCGAAATGTCTATACAGAGGTTTTGCATTTGCAACATGTCAGCCACTTCCATCAAATCAAATAATTCCTCTGCTTCAATCACAACATTTTGATAGTAGAGGTAAGCTATTGTTTTTCCAAGGGTTAATGGATCTATCTGATCAAGTTTAGCACATCTTTTGCAATTTTCCTCCATATTTGATCCAAACATAGCATAGAAATAGTCACTTCGTACAGATAAGACTAAACGATGGCAAAAGTAATCAGTGGAGTTGGAGGTCACAACCACATCAGTTGTTGCAGAATCATTCCACAGTTTTTTGAAGGTTTGCACGATTCTATGATATATAATGCTAGAATGGTCAATGATCTTTTCGTGAGATGTAGCAGAGGATTTGAGGAAGTCTCTTGATACTTGAACCAGTTCTGGAAGCTAACGAAGCAAAGAAAATAATAAACGTACATATTTTTTTGCATATTCCAAAAAAAAAAAAAAAAAAAATTGAAAATCATTTCAATTATTTAAAAAGCATTATTTTTTCTCAAACAAAAATCAAGGTTTTGAGTGAGTTCAGATTAGTTAAGGCGGCTCTATTTCAACATAGGGCCCAACCCAGGGTCACTCGCCATGCCTCATATCATATCCATTTATAAATCAGTACAATCAGGTTAGGCAGTTAATTGATGTCATAATTAATGTTGAAATATTGAATACCGACACGATGGTGTTTCGATACTTGGAGCATGTATTATACTATCTTATCTGAGATCAATCTGTGGACCTATCTGTTGACTTGTACACAGTAAATCAAAGAGCATCTACAGTATTATAGTTTTTCTTACAATTCACAAGTAATGGATAAATGGTAGAAATCAAATTATAACATGTATTATGCAAATTCGCTAAAAATACATCAAACAAAAACATGTACTATACCTGTAAAAATATGGCCCTCTCTAGGAGATCTTTGGCATACCATCGAGTGAGAAGCAAACGTCCAGTATAGATGTACTCCAAAATACGAGTTAGTGTGATCTTCGAAATTCCTTGTAATGGAATTTCTGAATTTTGTATGTTTCCATGTTGAAGAATGTTTCTCACATAACCCGAGGCAGATGAAAGAACTTGTGCATGGCAGGAAATTGCGCACTCATCAACTACAATAGTAACATCGGTCAAGAAGTCACTTTTCTGTGCTTCGTAAAGCTTAGTAAGAATTCTAACATGGTCCTCTGAAGTGTTCTTGATGACAAGCTTTCTGTAACTACTGAATGACTGTGTTGCACATGTATTGTTTCCTGGCATCCTAACATGTTAGGATGGAGTTTCAAATGTTGGATACAGATAAAAATCAGGATATTTCAGCAAACCTATGGAGAGAAAAAATAGATTATCATCAACAGTCTCTCTCTCTCTCATTGAAAAAAAAGCAATATTCTCTTGTTCCGTAGTACAGTAGAGTAGGTAGCAAGCAACTCCCTGGCCTAGCCTAGGCCTAGGGCCTAGCTCAGACTAGCCTGGCCCTAGGATAGTGCCTAGGCCGTAGGCGTAGTAGTAGGGCCTAGGCCTAGAAGTAGTACTAGGCCTAGGCCTAGTAGTAGCTAGGCTAACTAGGCTAGGCCTATCAAGGGGTGTAGGCCTAGGCCTAAACCAAAAAAGCATAGAGCACCGCATATCTTACTTACTCATATAACATTTCTTTACAACTTTCTACACAGTATGTTTTTATTATGGATGAAAACAAAGAGTATATAACAGCTTTGATGAAAATGAAACCATGAAATCAGAATATTCTATCAGGGGCCGGGTTGTTGGACAAATTTATAATGACCTATGACCTCTGCTTCAACAACAGCCAATCAGATGAGAATATTTTTATTGGGGCCATTACACAGTAGTTTTCCGTCACGAACCTTCCGTTCTCCAATCATGTGTAGCAATTCTCTGATCAACACTGGAACTAGAATCTTGAGTCACTTGTAGGTATACAGCACATGGATTTTGATGTTTTTTGAATGAAACAAAGTTGAAAATATATATGGTGTCTGTATTAGAGCAAAGACACGGACGCGTCATGCACTGTCCCATGAAACATATCAAAAAAATATAAAAATATTTTTTTATTAATTAACTTGCTCAGTACAGTAACATACAAATTACCGACTTCAAACATAGAAATTAGTGTGTTTAAAAAATGTTTACAGCAAAATAATGATAGGAAAACGTCCAGTCACTGGAAGGCCGGGTCTCTCATTATTTTTTGAGAGCAAGTTAATTTCAAATAATTTATGTTTTTTTTGTAATTTTGGGACAATACAGTGGTGGATCCAGGAATTTGAAATAGATACAAGTAGAGTTTGGTTTTAGAGATTGGAACTCTAGATATGAGCTTCAGAGGGCACCGCGTACGTCTGGACCAATTTCCGCCTCATTTTTGCTATACGAATGCTCTATCTTGTATTTTTAGTATCTTTGCCAATATGTACTCTTTGAAAGTATAGCAACACCAAGTGTTCAAAATATACAAAAGAGCAACCATTAGTTTGTTCACCTTTTAATTTTCTTCACAGCTTTACATAGTATTCTCATAGCCACTGATAGATCAGACAAAAACTGCTATAAATTTATTCTCTCCTAGCAATGTTTTTTTAATCATCTCAAATTCTAATTTGGTTCTGATACAATTACCTCTAAAAATCAACATCAGTTATCTTTTTTACTTGTAGCAAAACATAATTCTGTACACGTCCTGGATGTGACTAGAAAAACAGTGCAAAATACCTAGCATAAACCTTAATCCACACTTTCAAATTTTCTTTGACAAATAACTGTTGTATGCCCATATATAGTCATGATGTGCCTATATATAGTCATGATATGATGTCATCATGACCATATATAGGCAAAATTTGATAGTTTGGACAGGGCTTTAGAACACTAAAATGTTAAGCGTACAAACTACAAACGCATCTAATTTATTTACTATGATTCTTGTGAAATAAATCAAATCATAAATATTCATATTATTTTTTATGAATATTTATTTTTTTTTAATTTATTACAAACATTTCCTTATATGGAAGTGTTCTTTAAAAGGGAATTGATAAATAAGAGTTCAAAATTACTGTCAAACAAATAAAAAATATAAAACAAGAATAACTGTCACCTAAAATACAAAATAATATTCATCCATGTGGATAATAGGTTTATAATACAACAAAATTTAGTTGCAACAAAAACTGGCAGATGCTTTGTATCTACATTATGAAAACAGAGCTTAAATTATTACATTCATTAGCAGCCAAGGCACCAACATCTATATAAAGGCATAGCTTATAAAGGCATAGCTTATGCAAGCTACTACTACTACTACTGTTACTATCAAATGCCATGTTGTAACATCATATGCCATATACTGTACAGTGTTGGTACTGGTACTGTGCCACCAATAGCCAATATAGAATGCTGGTACCGGTATGCCATGAAAATGACTTATACATTACTGGTACAGGTATTGTGCCCTCAATTAAAATATATGCTGGTACTGATACTGTGCCATTAATATTATTAAAGTGCTGATAGTGGTACTTAGCCATCAATTGCCATATACAGTACTGTATGTGCTTGTACCAGTGTAACATCAATTTTGCATACATCACTGGTACTGTAACTACATCATGTCGGCACTGTGCTACCACAAGTCAAACATTTCCATAAGAAGATATGAGTTCAGCACTAAAATTTCTGTTTTAAATAGTTTTTGTTTAATGCTTCGCTCAACGACAAAATATGAGAATTATAATAAATGATGCAACATCACATATTATTCATTCAGAATCTTCCAAATTCGGACAACGCCATCTGAAAGGTGTGTATGTGATAGGTTAATGTTCATCTATTAGGGGTGTGGAGTCACCACCAGGGGCTGGTGTTGATAGAGACATTGGGCTAGGCACATATGCAGGACTAGGCTGTGTCCTAGGACTTGGAGCTGCCTTATTCTGTCTGGTCTTGGCCCATCTGGCTGCTGCCTCAGCCCAGTCTGTAGCTGGTGTCGCGGAAGCCCTAGACGTAGGAATGAAATTGAAGGATTGAATAATAAACAAACTTGAACAGTTTTACAAAAAATTACAATAATAATTAATATTATTATTTGAAATTTTCCATGTTTTAGTTCCTATTCCATTTTGTAATTCATTACTTTATTTAACAACCTGAAGATTTACTAGGAATTTTGAATTATAAAAATCAGCATTGGTGGTCAGAAAAAAAATCAACCATGCATTTTCTGATGTATTTACGCAATGTGAACATACCTTGGTGTTTGTCTGACAGATTGTCTGATAGCATGGTTGACATTTGGATTTGGGGTTGCACCTGACATAGATGTGCTTCCCCAGTTCTGTCGTGGCGTGGGTTGATAACGAGGTGTCTGGCGCGGAGTCATTCCAGCTGACTGTCTTGGCGTCATCCCTGCTGTTTGTCTTGGCGTCATCCCTGCTGTTTGTCTTGGGGTCATCCCTGCTGTCTGTCTTGGTGTCATTCCTGCTGTTTGTCTTGGGGTCATTCCAGCTGCCTGTCGGGGTGTCATCTGGTAGGAGGGGGTCATAATCTGTGGAGTTCCATACGGCTAGAAAAAATGGAAAATATACATAAAAGTATATAAAATAACCTGCACTGAATTAATAGACTATTTTAAATGATTATATATAAAGGTTTAACTTACATGCATCTGTGACATACCACCACCAAATCCACCATAAGAAGCACCTGTTCTAATTTGTGGTGTTTGCCTGGGTGTTTGTCTAGGCGTTTGTCTAGGTGTTTGCCTGGGTGTTGCTCCAGGTGTAGCCCCCATTGCAAACATTCCACTTGGGAATGAGCTGACTGCCTTTTGTAGAAGAGCAGTATCAACATCTAAAAAAAAAAAAAAACAAGAATACAGTATAAAATATATAAACTAGGCTGAAAAATATAGTAAACCATAAAAACAATAACGTAATGTTTACATTAGGTTTCATAAAGAGAATGTTTCTATGTTCATCATGAAATTTAAAAAAAAAAAACTTACTAGCAAGGTTGAATGCTGCCGGAGTGCCTTCAGCTGCAGGGGTGCGGTGGTGTGAACGAGGTGTAGGGTTCATTCCTGAGAGAAAATAAATTCAGTATAACTTATTAACATGGCACTAAAATTCACTATGCGTTTACACCAATACATGATAATAAAAAAAGATTAAGAGACAAGTTAGTTAATGCAATTATGCGGCAGACAAGACAAAAAAATCTTAATGATATATATCAAAGTGCTATACACTCACCAGGTATTGGGTCCCTGAAATGTTCCTTAAACCATCGCAGTAAGGCATTAAGTGAACTCTGTATCTGTTGCCGGTAGCGATACCCATCTGGAGTGAGAGTCACAAATTCCATACGAGGCTTCAGACGAGGTTGGTATGCTAATGCAATCTTACCAGGAAATTCCTTGGAAAAACTCAGAAAGTAGGGAATTCTGGATGGTGTTTTCATCTTTTCTTTCTCTAGGAGTTTATAAAGAACTTCACGTTTACCGCCCTCTGCAAGAGTGTGGCACTTGTGCATGAGAACATCGCGCGCGAACGATCCCATTGGTTGAATGTGTCGAGCAATAATTTCATCCAAGTCTTCAAAGGCCTGAAGTAGAAAAAAAAATAAAATAAAATAAATGAATCAATATATATTCATCTATACATGTATTAATTCCTAGTATTTTATGCTACTAGGATAAAACCCAGACAGCGTTGTACGACACAGCCTGATGCAATTTGTTGCCGCATCGGGCCTGTGTGAATTAAATGCGGACGTGATAAGTCGGCATTAGGGACAGTTGCGTTGTAGAATATAAAAATATGTTTAATATTCTCACAAAGATCTGAAAACTGTCCTGATGATAAATTGCATTGTATGATGCTGTCTGAGTTGAGCTTAAGAGACTTCATTATCGTAAAATTGTTGATGACAATTTATATTATTCTGAGACTAGAAGTTATCTATTTTATAGATATGTCTTATTAAATGGTCAGTTCAACAATGCCAAATATTGAAAGATGTGAATATTTTTGAGACACAAGTACCTCTCCATTTATCCAGAGTGACTGTCCAAGACTAAATGCATTCTCTTTGCCTTCTTCCCTGACATCAATATGTTGGTAAATTCCCTCATCCACCTTCCAAGTCACTGTCAAATGGTCTGAACCCTGTGGAAAAGGAAAGGGATGAGGAAGAAAAAAAAAATACATAAGAATGTAATAGTGTAAATCTTAAGAAGATATAGACACAAATACAAAATATACTAGTTTTTTAGTTTATAAATTAGTAGTAGATGAAGAATTAAACAAAAATAACCTATTGAAAACCCCTCTGATTCCAAGACCCCTCTAATTTGGGACCACTTTTTCAAAGAATCAAATAACAATCTTCAATATTTTAACACAACAAATTTAACCCTCTAAGTGGAGACCAAACTCTGAAACCACCTCAAATTTTCAGGTCCAAAAGTGGTCTTGAATTGGAGGGAAAACTGTATTCAGCCTGGCCCTTGCGACTAGGCCTACTAACAAAATAACTAATGCTCCTTGCACCTTAGCTACTAGGCTTAATAATAGCACAAGAAGTATATTTCTTACCTTGCTGCTAGGCCTAATAATAGCCTCTCCTTGATCCATATCCACCAGAAGCTTCTCTGCCTGCTTGAATGTGATATTGTGAAACGATGGATGCACAATAACACGCTTGATATAAGCTGTAATGATAACAATGCATATTATTAATTACAAAATAAGTTATAATTGTTTGGGCTACGACTTAAACTACCAACTGCTAACATCATTTCACTCTGTCTTGGAGGTGATCAAGCACATAAGCCTCAACCAAAATGTGCAATCAGTGCTCTGATCTTCACAAAATAGCACTATATAAATGTTGTTTTATATATGTATGTATGTAATATTATCAATGTCTTACTTGATTGATTGGCTTTCTTTTTACTGTCTTCTTTCTTGATGGCATCGTCAGCTGCATCATGATCATAGTAGACATCCTTCTGTGGCATCCATTCTCCCTTAGTATCCTGTAGGTCTGAGCTCCTACTGGTCAGATCCACAGTGAACCTTTCAACATCAATCTTGGTCACTCGGCAATGTAGAGTCATGCCCACCTTTGTATAACAAGGCAATAATACAATGTTATTTGTTACATGTAAACCCCTGTCTACACTATCAAATTTTATTTGACAAAAACATGTGACATGTCTAAATATGGTCATTATGACATCATCAGGCACATCATGACTTTATTAACAAGTACATATAACAATAACAATGAATATAGAACTATGTAAGTTTTATGTGACAAACAATTGATTTGCTTATAGTGTGATATCATTATAACATCATAATACCTAGGTATGAGCAAATCACAGTTGTAGTAGAAAATTTGATGGCTACAGAACCTTTGTGAGGAAGGCTTAAACTCAAAATACACAAATCAATCAAAATATTGGTAATACAGTATATGAGTGTCATACTTAGATCAATAAACCAAATAAGGGCAATTTTTGTGAAGCTGTTGTCCAATACCATATTTATCAATTGAAGTACATGATCATGGTGAATCACTAGAGCTAAAATATCATATATATCAATTATTTCAACAGAAACCAAAGATATGAAAGGATATTCATGATACAGCGAACAAACAGTAGACACCTCAAGTTCAGTTGATAGAGCTTAGTTGTGGTTTGTAGATAGTTTAAAAATGGATGAAGAAATAAGATGCAGCATGGCTGAAAAAATGATTGTTTCGATCTAGCAGTTGTAACTTACCTTCACCCTATCCTCTGGGTTCTTCACATGTTTATCACTTATTGATTTGGTTGGGATGAACCCCATCAAACCATTATCAAGTCGAATCTTGACTCCAATTGCTTGTCCTGGGCAGTTACCACCATCAAAATGGCTCCATACCTGAAGACACAAAGCACAATGTTAGGCAAAATAACTCAAATTTGTTTCTGAAATGTTTATCACTCACATGTTTAACTACTATTTTTATCTGGCACCAAATGCCCATACCCAACAGACCAATTCATCAACAAAATTTATGGTCAGCCTTTTTTACAACAAATAAAAGTGACTAAAATACTATTATATGAAAACAACCCTTTTCAAGCTTTAATAATTTAACTGGAGAAGCCAACCATAAATTATAAACCAATTGTTACCATTTTACTAGCTAAAAATACATGGGTGAGAATGGCTAGGCCTACCCATACAATCTAGAATTGAGAGTAGGTCTGTAGTGAAAATAAAATCCTGGCTGAACAATGCTGATTTCAAAACACAAGTTTTTGTTGGCCTAACTGAATAATTTGTTATACCTCACTCAATTCTGGAAAGTCATCCTGTAAACAGAATGGACACTGCCACAAGCCCGTGTCATCCTTGCGCACAGGGTTGGCATTGTCAAGTTCTTCACCACGAGGGCGTCGTCGGGCAATTGAGATTACACGTCCCAGCACCAATTTACCTACACATAATAAAAACTTATCAATCAGAGAATTTACACAAAAGAATAAAGATGACAACAGTGTGATTAGCATGGATATGCACTGGGTCAGATGCACTGGGTCAGACTATTCCAATACAATATTTTCTAAAAGTACATTATCCAAGTAATTAATAACTAATGAAATAAACTTATATGCATACAGTATGTTCACTTATAGCTCTACTTAAGGTTTATGCCTGCACTAGGCCAGTAAAAGGATGAAGAACTTAAAATGTTTTATACCTTGTTTTAGTGAACCCACCGCCCATCAATGATGATATCCAATAAAAATAACATTTTTTTTAGCCAATTAGTGTACCCGCCACCACGAAAAATTAAAATTTCAGAAAAAAAAAATGTTTCTTTATTTTTATTATGCCCACCGCTGCCTTGAAATCTCCAAAAATAAGATACAGTATGTATATTTATTTCTAGTTATATAAATTCAAAGCATATAACCATCACATTATTACACTTTTTACATTCACCAATAACATTCTATTTTCATTCTCTCCTTTTTTGGCAAAACTGTGAGCTCAGTAAAAAATGTTATCTTTATTTTTCCCCCACCCTCCTCAGACGATCTACAAAAAAATAAGTTTGCAAAAAACCAGGTATAAAAAGTGTCTCGCATTAAAGGTAACATACCAACATAGAAAGTGGCTGGCGTTTCCTTAGTTAACATTTGGAACCGTTCCTCAGGTGACACTTCCTGGAATGGGGACCGTAAGTCCTTGTACCGGTTGTTCAACTCAGCACGGATGTCGTACAATGTTATTCGCTTGTTACCATAATTCTAAAAAGAAGCAGAAAACACACACACCATCTGTTAGTGGAACATGTATCTGGGCTATTCTACTGAAGAAATGGGTATACACAACATAATGCTGCATAATAACTAGCAAATCGTTATGTGAGCCAATTATTTGCTTTACCTGTCTCTCAAGTTCATCCGCAAAGGCATCTAAATCTAAGTCACGTAGCTTCTCAGGGTTATCAAGGATTTCATTCAAAGCATCAGCTGGGTTTGCATCAACAGCTGACTCATCATACTCCAAAGCGTCTACCGCCATCTTTCGTGCCCAATCGTACGTCTCAGGGTGTACACGTGTGCTGTCTAATACCTCCACGTATGCCTCGGTACTGTCAATTCATAAATAAACGTTTATACCACCAAAATCCATCGTGTTAAGTAATAGCAAATGGTTTTATTTTTAAACTTTGAGAATTTTATAAATATTTTTTAATTTAATAATTTTTATGAATTCGAGCCTGGGCAGCTCTATTGCCACTTCTGCATTGCCACTGGCCATTTTGAAGAGAACATTAATGTAAAATTGGTCTAGCATAAAAATACTAAATATTATCAAAACAATAATAATCATTATGATCCAAAAAACGAGTCTGAAATACTTTTTATGTGGACGTACATATTGGGATAAATGTATTACAATTTGGGTATAATGTATTTACCTTTCACCAATCTTTGCTGTATCAATCTTAATGAAGCCTGCACAATTAATAAATACTTTCGGTCCTAGATTGCAGATGGTCACAAGCTGTGTGCGGTTCTCTAAGCGTTCGTTTGCTTGTTTCAAAGACTGCGGGAGAAATTAATATTTGCATATCGAAATGAGGCAGAAAAATATACACGATACACACAATTTATTTTCTTCTTACATTAATTCGATTTTCCATGAATTTAATTTCCGTTTTTTTTTCTTCATCAATTTGTATATAAATTTAGGATGATAATAAAATTATTGACCCTTTGAAATGAGCTGGTATTGTACTGGAATTTTAAAAGTTTATTGAACATATTTTTACCTTAATAATTGCACCTGCTTTCCTTGGTCCGAGTCCACACACAAACTGCATCAAAGAATGTGTGTGCTGATGCTCAATTGCACGGTTCACGTCCACACCGACCTCGTTCACACGGTAAATGAACTCCTGATACAGAGTCTCCAAAAGTTCATCCTTAGCTAACAAGTCCTACAAAGGTTTGAAAGGGATAATTTAATACAAAACTGCCTAACAAAATTTTTGCTACAAGGAACGTTGTAACTGAATGTTTTCTAGACAAGTACTATGATAATACATTGCATTTGGGAGACAGTACACATACATCAGGCTGCATCTCATCCAAATTACATTCAGGATGAATGTGGTTCCAACAAAAATATGATATGAAGAACAATAATGTACATGATAAATAAAAAAAAAATCACAATGGAAATCAGGATAGGATAAATTAAATTAACATATTAGAATTGATGACTAACCATTGATAAGCCTATGAAATGGTGAAATGGTAATTACTGGGATAAAATCAATACTTGAGGTATCACATAAATATATTAAAACTTTGTATTGCCCTTTACAATCATCATACAAGTATTTCAAGCTCCTCCTTAAACAAAATATAAATTTTAATCCCCCCAAAAAGCCAGCCCTAAAGTTTTTGGGTTGGTAAGGCTTGGGCAATACAAAATGGGCTTGTTTGACCTAATGATTAGTTTTTAACTGTTGTGTATGATGGTCACTAATAAAAACAATAATGTAAATAATTCAAATCAGCTCTGCATGGTGCAGATCTATAACTCCACCTAATGAGACAAATCATTTACTTTAAATACTAACCTGCATAGGGTGCAATTTCAGACAAAGGATTTCCTCATCTGCATTGCAAAGACGAGCAAATTCTATCAGAGGGTCTTGAAGACGCCTAGCAACAGAGATAGCCTGTCGCAATTGCAAAGGATAGTCTCGGAATTCACTCTGTAATTTAAGGATAAAAGGTAATTGAAAATGAAATATAAAGATAACTTCTATTTTTTAAGCAAAAGTTTGTTATACACCAATGTGTGCACTATTAGGGAATAAAGTTAAGTACATGTTGGCCCCTATTTACAGAAGAGCTATAGCTCGGAGTTTGGATGCCTGCCCAGGTTTCTGGGTTCAAATCCCAAAGATAGTTGTACTGCTCACATAGTTAACTCCTAAACAAAATTCTATTTATTAAGTATTCTGCAACATTTATGGAGAGTAGCTTATATTATACTGCGCAAGTTTCCCAGGAAGAAAAAACCAGATAAAAACCAAAGTTTCATTGTCTAAATGACCAAAAAATATAGGATTAAAATCAATCTAACATTTCATGTTTTAGCAACTAGTAAAGTAGATGTACGCATAACCTCCAAATGTTTAACTGACTCAAGGTATTACGTAAAGTGAACTAAATAATTCCAACTTTTTAGGGTCAAGCAGATTTAGGGTTGGTATTACCTCTGCTATATTTGAGGTTTGAAATATCATGGCTATGCCATCATGGATTAGTTCTACATTGATAGGTGTAATCTGCTGCTCAGCTTCTAACTCATTGACACATTGCTGGATGTCACGAATTACATTCAATGAAGACCTAAGAAAAAAACAAGAAAAATAACATAATAAAAATACATTTAACAAGCTCTACAATACCTTAAAAAATGACTTAATATTTTTACTAAAGCAAGACGAATCTGTCCAATTTGATGGCTAGACTTGGATAAACTGAAACACATGTGACGTCATCAAAAATCTAGTTGAGATTGTATATGTCACAAGCTCGCTGGAGATTCGTAATTTCAAAAATTTATTGATTACTTAAACCAAGAAAGTATCTTTAAACTAACCTTGATTCAGCCATCACACCAACCACATGTGGCTTCTTACTAGACAAGAAATCTTTGAGTTTTTCAATGTCCGCCTCCTTCAACTCCTTATCACGCTTGAAAAAGCTCTTGTTGCTTTTTAGGAAATTTGGTAGACGAATGTAATCGGAAACTTCTCCTTCGCCATCCAGAAGTGCGCCAAATGCTGGTACGTCCCTAAAAGATAAACCATATTTATTACTTTCTTCATACCAGTATGCCACAAGCATTATTTATACTTTTTTATTTATACTTGCTCGTAATAATGTTTATACTTATAAACTATAATGACGCATATGTCCTATTCATATGCAAGAGCTATTTGCAATTGAGGTAAATTCACTGAAATTCTTCATGGTGGATTTGCAAAGCATATTTCAGACGACATCAACAACGCGATTATCATCATAATTATTATAACACATTCTAAATTAATAAATATATTTTCTCCATACTAAATATGATATTTATTTGATAACTCCAATCACTTTCCCTTGTCTTTAGGATTTACCACCTCTGAAGTGAATGAGGATAATAAAATGGGTGAAACTTTTGAAACATAGTTTTCATTTTTTTAAATTACAAACTAGAATGTTTTATACAAATTAGGATGTAGTAGTAGAAAAAATTTGAACATACTTATCACTTGAGAAACTAATTCCCAACACACGAAGCCCAACCTTGCCTGGCATATCTAAGAATTCATCTTCCTCATCCTGTTGCTGGTCCGCTTGGTAGGGCGCCACCTTCAGGTTGTTGTACATCTTCAGGGAACACATCTGCAGTAATTGCATTTCAAATTACTTCATCATTACCAAGAAATATGTTAAATTACACAAATCAATCGTGAAGTTGGTAGTCTATGAGTGAGATACTTACCTGGATAACCGACTAATTGCCATTGTTCCCAAAACGGAACACCCCTTCGAAAATAATGGAACAGTCCGACCCAAGGCGCCACGTGCGAACCGTCTCCCTAACAAACGTCCTCATTCCCTTTTCGACGTTGTTCGAAGTTGGATACACCCAGCCTTTGAAATTACTTGCAGTCTTTTCAAGCTATCTTATTTTGTGGATTTATTTTCAACTGAGTCTCGATCGACATGTCCGCTCGCAAGTCTTTGTGCTCGGCGTGTGGGGGCCCTAAACCGAGTGTTAAGCTCGACCGGCACTCGGAGTGCCCTTTGTGTCGGTTATCCAGGTAAGTATTCACGAAATAGACTGACACGGTATAGAGCATCAAACGTCACAAATGATCAGCTTTCCATTCTCCAAGCCTCTTAAAGAGACTTAGTTATAGAGCATCAATGGTCTCAACTAAGCAGTTCTCCACTACCTAATACTCATAGACTTGGTTATAGAGCATCAATGGTCTCAACTAAGCAGTTCTCCACTACCTAATACTCATAGGCTTAGTTATAGAGCATCAATGGTCTCAACTAAGCAGTTCTCCACTACCTAATACTCATAGACTTGGTTATAAAGCACTAAGTGTTGCAAATGAGTAGCTCTCCCCTGACCAAGTCTCATGAAGAGACTTGGCTGTGAGCATTAAGGGACCCGACTGATTAGCTCTGCTGGATGGACAACCCCCTAGCTAAATCGGAAGTCCCAAAAATGTGTAAAAACCAGAAAAGGTTATGAGAATCGACGATAACATTGCAATGTTTGAATGTTTGTGTAAATTTGTTAGCATGAGATTGTAAAAATAATAGAAAAAGAAAATAAACTAACTCGTAGGATACACTCTTTGGATTCGTTAACAAGTTTGTTGCGAAGTTCTTTCTCAAATACCGGATACAGCATATTGAGAGCCAGCTCAAGGGCTGCCAGTCGTTCCTTATTCCACGCCTGGACCACATTACTGTATTCATCCCGATAGTAAAGTTGCTTGATCTCATCAAAGTATGTCTGGAATCTAAAAACACAATTACATTATAATATATTATAAAGGTAGTACATGAAATGTAATAAATATATTTTAACCATATTTATAGAGAGCAACCCTTCCAGCATATCCTATAAGGTCGGCAGACATTCAGGGGCCCTCTTTAAATAAATGAAATAATGTGATGCTTTATCAGAGAGTGGAGTTGTTTTTAGTTATAAGAAAAAGTTCTGCCCTAACAGGAATTGAACCCAGGCACCTGGGATTAGAAGGCAAGCATCTTAACGACTAAGATATTCAACTCCACTCTACTTTATTCCAATGAATACACTCAAAACAAGTACTACAAGAAACATTAACTATTCAATCATCAACATGTTAAAAATACAAATCTTACAAATTTAGCAAATAACAAGTTCAAATATGAATTCATTTATTTAATAATTATAATAAGTATAATAATAATAATTACTGTAGCAATCATTTATAATTATATAATATTTATAAAAATAACAAATGATTGCTATGGTAATTAATTATAATTCTGTAGTTTTCTCTTGTTTTTTATCTAAACAATTTTATGTAAATCTTAATGTAAATTTCCTATTTTGATGTAACATAAATCGTAATTCAGCCTTTTTGGCTGCCATGCTTTATGCTTTTTATAAATTTGGAATTTGAATAAAATATCATTATATATAAAATCATTTTGGCAGTTTTAAGACTTGTCATTATATAAATCAAAAATTTAGTTAATCAGTTTCTTCTATGGCAAATAAATCTATTCCTTGATGAAAATTTACATTAAAATGCAAAATGCATGGTCTCTTAGGAAATGTTGTATCTAACATGATGTTTGTGCATAAAAAAAATGTCTATTTCATCTCTTTTTGACCTGCACAGGCTAGTTGCCAACAACTGTGTAATTGCCTTTGGGCTAATAAATTCGGTAAAATATAATTAATTCTTCTTAAATTAATGCATCAGAATACAAAGCAGAAAATAATAAATTGCAACTTTCAGCTAAGAATAGAAAAAGAACTGTATGTAGATTTACCCTCCTCGTCTGCTACTCGAGGTCTTCATATCAATGTCCATTGTAATGGTCAATAGGTTCTCCTTTTCTGCAGAAGTCAGCTTCAAGAATTGTTCACCTTTACAGTCTTTCACTTGTTTATCTTTTAAGTATTTCATTGAGAAGCATGGATGTGATTCATCAATTTCCTATAAACATTAGAAACCCATTAAACCACACAATGCAACAATCAAATGTTCAAAATCTACACATATGCTTCCAGCCTAAGCTAAATATTCAAATTCATTAAGCCGTTCATTCATTAAGATGTAATTAAAATGTCTTTAACATGAACTGGGAGTAGGACCCATAAAGTTAAGTTGGAAGACAAATGTAGGCTGGAGAAACATAAGACACAGACTCATTTTGGGTGGTAAGTCACCTCACAAAAACTCTGAATAAATTTAAGATAAGACAGACTACACGAACAGGGCAGAATGTAGTTTTGTGGGCATCATGAAAGTAAGGGAGAGGGAACCTAAGCAAATGAATTTAATAATAAGAGGAATAGTAGACACAAGAAAATATGGAATGAGTTCATGCAGAACAATCTTAGCAACAAAGGGACAGGCCACAGCAGAATGATTCACTGAGTACTTGCTGTTAGGTATGAAGGGAAACAAAATCAACTGCCTACCTTGAGACCTTTCCTTGTTGGTTTCACAGATATTTTTGCCCTCTCATAGTAAGTTTCCCTTACAGTCTGTCTCACTAGAGGATCATGTGATAACTGTAGCGCCACCATATAGCGTGTTGCTTTTAACAGAGGTTCTTCCTCAGAAAATTTACTGTAAAAAACAAAAAGCTAATATAAATTTTTTTAATTGTGAGAAAATCCAATTTGTTTTAGAAAAACTATCATGATAATATCACTTTATAGTTAATTAGAATGTGATTTATTTAATATTTAAAAAAAATACTAACACAACATATCAAATAATCAGGCATTAATGATAAATAATGTATAAATATTCCTATGACCAGAATAATTAATGACAATGCATACCTGCTAAGATAATCTTTAGCTGCTTCAAGTGGTTCCATTGGGTACTGCTCTGTGTCGTGACGTTGGTAATTATCTCTAAGGTTCTCACCAAATTGCTCTGGTGTCAGACCGAATTTTTTTGCAAGACCATCTGGAGAGAAAAAGAAAAGGAAAGATATTAGCATGGTGTTGGTTAATCTTGTGTACGAGTTTGATTTATATTAATATTAAAGGATGAGTAAAAACCAGAGCTTTAAGCTCACAGGTTGGAGTGTCCATCTCCCTCTCATAGGAATTGGGCTAGACTGTGAAATGCTATGGGGCTTACCACTTCTCATGCACAATACATCTGTTTGCATTCAGAGCATATGCCGATACCAAGCATCTGACGATCAGATTTTGTGATAGCATATAGTAAAAAGCATATTAAGGGGATATCTTTGGGACCAATAACAGTGTCCCTATAATAGTGGTGTCACCTGAATATGCCTCAGATGTAGGATTAAAATGTACATTTTGCTTCCAAAAAGTATTCTCTTAATAGAGCTGTTCCATTAATAGGTATCCCAAAGAGGGTTTCTACTGTAATAAAATTCTACTAACCTAGGCCTGCATTCTGACATGTTCCATACATTGACTTCCTTGAGGCTTGTTTGAGGTAGTAGCTGGAACCACCTTCATCTATTTCTTCTTCTACTTCTTCCTCCACCTCCTCCCATTCATCATCCTCGTCATTTTTTTCCTCATCATCGTCATCGTCATCGTCGTCATCATCGGGGTCTTTTACTTTCACCTTCTTGCGAAGAACTTTGCGGATAACTGTGCGGGTTTCTTTTTTAGTAGCATTATGCATCTTGGTAAGATCACGTCCATAGTACAATAAAAAGTGTGAGTAAACGTCCTTTAATTCCTCCATTGTTTGTAAAGTATCCAATCTAAAAAAACAAAAACACAATGGTTTATTAAAAATAAATGAAAATTCAAATCAATATTTTGAATAACAAAAGCAGCACAACTTTAAACTAAAAATACCTCTAGATTATTGTTACATTTTGAAATTACTTTATTAAAATACTGAACTTGGAAATTTAATTTAAAATGTTTAAACGTTTACGTATTTCAGCGTATACAACAAGATGTTTTCGATTTTATCTCTTTACATGTGCCATACACACATAATAAACTACCAGTAAAGTGGTTTGTTACAACCTACTTATTGTAAAACACCCAACACTTGCTTTTATATTTCTGGTTTTTGTTGGATAGGATAGGATTATTTTGGTGTGAATGACTTATTTCCAGTGGAGTCCTTCTCGTGGTGATTGGGCAGTACACCGGCAGACAATCCCCTACTCTCTTCCGAAGAGTGTACTGCATTCTTTAACATGCACATGGGCCATATTGCACACAGGACCAACGGCTTAAATGTCTCATTCGAAAGACGGTACACTATCTTAACTCGTATTCCAGCAGAAACACAAGGATGGCAGAGATGGGAATTGAACCAAGGTTCAGCTCACACACAGTGGCTACCACCAGTTTAGCCAACTGAGCTAAGCTGCTCTCTCTATTATGATTCCTTTCCTTACCTCTCTAAATCAGGATCACTCAAGGCTCTAAAGCTGTCAGGTAAAACATCATCACCTGCCTTCTGTATCTGCTCAAACTGATATGTCTGCATTCTCTCAAATAGTTTCCTTAAATTCTGTTTTCGTGTTCTTAATTGGCACCACTAAATGCAAACAAGAATTTAAATCTTGATATCAAACGTTGAATTTATAATACTCATCTTTCATTTTAAATATTTCATTTCTTGAATTTTAACATGTTGACTGCCAGACCTTTTTTTAAGGTTCCTTACCGTGTGCCAAAACAAGTTTACATGTAAAAACATACTTTATTGAAATTTTATCTAGCCATATATCATCAAAATGATGTGTCTAATAAATTAGCGGGGAATATATTACAGGGCGAGTAAACTCGTCGAAGGCACTGTGATAGCACTTTTTATTGACTATGCCAAGTGCGAGTTATCTCGTCCGTTTTTTGCATGGGTTGGTATATGTTCACAGGACGCCCCCATTTGTGCCGCTCGAGTGTACAACGGCACCAGCCGTTGAGTCTGTGATTCTACAATGTATAACAAAGAAGTTATAAACGCTAGAATGTTGACGAGTATACTCGTCTCTGGTACCCTCAGCAACACCCTGTGGGCTAGTAAACTCGTCGCTGGCAGCCAATGCGTTAAACATATAACACAAATAATTAAACAACAAAATAGTAAGTAATGATTAGAGGTTCGTTGAGCACTTATAAACAATCAGGAAGATAAAATCTGAAACTTTCCTACCTTTTCATCCCAATGAAAAATCTTGTAAAGATCGTTGAAATTCAGCTCTGGTTCGACATATTCTTTACGATAAAAAGCAATGAAAGGAACCTCAAAATGCTCATTGCGGATGAAATTGAGGGCCTCCTTGATTTTACCGATTGTGCTACGTGGTTTGGACTTGAAGTGTCCATGGCTCTCGGGTCCATCACCAAAGTCCTAGAAATTGTATCCAAAAGATGGTTTGATGAGGGCATGATCCATTATGTTGGATATTTGACTGTAGAAAGTATTAACCTCTGTCAAGTTTATGTAACAAATACCTGTCATCTGTCCATATACGGGTGTGATATGACACATTATGCCCATATATGGTCAAATCACACAAATTTGTCAAATAAAACCTGGTAGCATGCACTGAACTTTAAAAAGGCTCTATACAATTATTCTACATTTTGCATTTTAGGCACAATGCCAGGATATAACAAGATGCTACATAGACCAACTGTCATTAAGTGGCTTAGGAAGTGTAGCTGCTTTTGTATATAAGAGGTATTTGTACATACTTGTCGTGATATTGGGGGTGTGTTGAATGCTTGGCGATAAATCCAGTCGGCCTCAAGATCAAGTTCCATGTCCTTAGCTTCCGTAACAGGAACTCCACGAAGCTACAACAAAAAAAATGTTGTTAGATATCAATATTATGTGCCGACTTTTCCATAATGCGCCACTGAGCAGGGTTTTGTTATGAAATCTGACGCAACAAAATCCCAGGAACTGATTGATTCTATCTACGAATTAACAAATTATTAATTTAAACATGTAATTAATATTGTATTATATTATTATTGTACAGGTTTCCCTCTAATTAAAGACCACTTTTGGGACTGGGGTTTCCATGGCCTTTAGCAGCTTTGGTCTCTAATTAGAATAATAAAGATAAAAGAAATTTGTTAATTTGGAACCACAGAAAAGTGGTCTTCAATTAAAGGTGGTCTAAAATTGAAGGTGGTCCAATTTAATTATAAAGGTCTTTAATTAGAGGGTGACCTGTATTATGCCTTGATAATAGGGTGCTCAAGTCGTCATAGTTGGTTTAAACACAAACAATTTATATAAACTAGCATAGCATGCTTTAATACTTTATTTAGATTTAACCACAAATAGTAAAGATAGAAAATATAAAGGAAACTGTAATTGTTGTATTCGAATGAGACGTTTGTGCTCAACAGAACATCTGTTCAGTACTCTTCGTATTCAGTTGGTTAAATAACGCCAACTTTTTTGTTGAGTTTGTACTTAACGTTTGAAATACTTTGTTGAGTTTGTATTTAACGTGGCTAACATACTCAATAGTTAAATCCCAATCACAAATGCCAATTTTGTGTTCACAGTTGCTATAGTTACCCTGAATCTTTCTGGAACGTCCGCTGTTCTTATTTCTTGATCCAGGTCTGTGAAATGTCCTCGTTCCAGGTCACTAGGTTCAAAAACCTTCAAGAAAAGTTAAATTACTTAGTGCTTAAAATACTATAAAGAAAGCAGCTACACGGTTATCATTTGATCACTATTTCTACACATTGTAGAAGCAGTTTGGGCAGAGGGAATGGTTTTGTTTTCCAACCTTGATGGTGGGGTTTAAATCACTAGCCATCCTTAGGCGAGGATTTTATCTACATTACAGAGCTTTTGATTTACGTGATGATGTAACGCTAGAACGGATTTACTCATCTGCAACCTAGAGTCCAGGCGATGAGAAATCAACACACTCGCATGTGCAGATGACTTCTTAGTGACGTCATTACATTCTAGGTCCTACTGTTGTTGTGCAATCAAAAGCTACCTATTACTGCAGTCTACCCAGCTGCCCCTCAAAATAATGGGATGGACAACGTGACAGACTGTGATTACTGGGGTTGCCGGCGCAGATTTTTAAACTGTCCAAAAATTTGTCACGGCAGTCCCGGTGCCGATGGGAAACCTGGTAGGCCATAGTAAACACAACAAAACGCGACAGTACGTAATAGGCCATAACAAGACTTGGAGGCAGTCCGAAGTAGGACGAGAAGCATGAATAGGAGAAATTCCAAAAATAAAACAAGAAGAAGCAACCGACGAAGACCAAGCTGTGAAAGAAAAAAACTGAGCAAGACATAACAAACAGGGCTGCCGTGATCACCGGGAACACAATGTAAACCTAGCATTAAATCCATTCCTTAAGATATATAACTTTGTTGCTTATGGTATATTACTTTAAGTCTATTCCAAATGCCAATAAGGTATACTACTGATAGTAATTTTATATATCAATATAAGCAACACAAGATTGTGCTACTGCCCAACTCAAATGCCTGAAACGCATCAGGTAATTCAAACAAAAACAAGACAACAAAAAAAACAAACTATAATATATCCTGCAAAATTTATGTCAATTTGCTTTTCCTAATAATAATAATAATAAAGATTTATAAAGCACACATCTACACCAATGGTGCTCAAGGCGCAGTGTCAATTATACCACAAAATTAATCAAATAATTAATTCCCAGAAGAATTTCAAGCAAAATCCGTATACCAATTATCCAATCGAGGCACTGTTGCTCCCCATATAAGTATGTGCAGATACTGAAAGGCAGTGTGTTGAGCATTCCCCCTTCCACCCCAGGACTCCACTACTGTGCACTGCAAAAGGAGCAACATTGCGTCGACAGAGGAAAATGGTATCATGTTTTTTTAGTAAATGATATAAATTCAACAGAGAAACATCAAGGTTCTCTATATGCCTCGGTGAAAATCCAAATTAATTCCCTTTAGAATCTTGAGCAGAATGTATTAAGAGCAGTTAAACTAAGTGAGTACCTACATCATAAATACTTTTCTTTGTTGCTCGTTTCTTTCCCGGTCTCTTGGCACGTGCAAGTCCTTCTGCATCAACATCCTCATCCTCTTCTTCATACTGTGGTAAAATTTTTAACATCATGTTAAAAAATTTAATTATAGCACCGACAAATAAATTATGTTTACATTGGAAAAAACATTGTCCCTATTGTCCAACATCGTCCCTATAGGGCCATTGCTACACTCACTTGAATTTTCCCATTAGGTCATCATTAGATACCGGAAATGTAAAATATATCAATCAACTTATACATTAATATGAAATATTTCTGTGGGGTGAATGAGATGAGATTACTAACATTTTCCAAAGTAATATAAACATAAATGGTCACTGCTATATACAACTTGCAAGTTATTTCACTTGAAATTGCCCTAAAGAAAGATAAGAAAACCTCACCTCATCCTCTTCTTCTTCTTCCTCATATTGATCATCTATATTTTCAAATTCATCTAAATCAAATTCTAGTCCAAAAATATCTTGAGCTTCTTGCAGGGCCCTGCAAAAAAATCATATTAATGGTTAGAAAACAAATTGAAACTTTCTCTATTGGTTAAGTTCAAATTGAGATTATTACAGTTTATATTATTAAGTATGTTTATTTTGTGCATAGATATAATGACTACCCTAGTAAGGGAGTATCTCAATCAATCTGGTATCCATTAATAATGTTCAAAGGCGCTCGACAAAGTTAAATTTGAAATGCTTCCGAGAACAGGTAGGCTTTCAGACGTTTTTTGAAAATGTTTGTGAGGTTTTAATGTCTATTGGTAAAGTATTCTGCACAAGAGAATGCACGATGACCACATGACTTGAGTTTCCATTTAGGGATATGAAGGAGGAATTAGGCGTTTGCAGTGTATGGGCGGAAGTGTGATGTGTAAGATCGCCAATATAGTGAGGTATAAGTCCATTGATGGCCTTGTAGGTTATGAGAAGCAATTTGAATTTAATGTGGGATTGAATATAACCAATGACTTTGAAGTACTGGAGTGATTATTATAGCAGCAGTGTTCTCACTCAAAGATTACTTTGTAATGGAGTACCTGTTAAGTATTATGCATCTCTAATTGGTCCCAGTTATGCTTATTAAATAAAAGTCTTATACTGCAGTTTTAAATTGTAAGAATTTTACAAAATGTAAGCTGGCAGAATTTGAACCCAGGATCTTGGTATTGGAAGGCAAGAACCTTAACCACCAAGCTACAGCTCCACTCCATTAAGGATATTTTTTTTTGTGTACATTAATACTTACGAATCTTGGATAGTTTTTTGTCCTTTCTTTTTCTTTTTCTTTGTTGCAATCGGTCGTCCTTCATCATCAACAATAAAGTCATCCACATCTGTTACCGAAAGAGAACATACGTTATTGTGATAATTATACAGAGCTTGTGCACTTATTTTTATATATGGATTGGAACATATATAAAACTTTACTACGATTATTACATAAAACTATCCAAGATTTTTATTTATTTTTTAATTTTTTTAAAATTATTATTATTATTTTTGTTTGTTTGGACTGATTTAGTCTTGTGCTACTATTTTTGTACATTTTATACTGTGATACAAAATAATAAAAAAGGACCATTAAATACATTAAACTTTCTATAGATAATATATTTTACATACTTCATCTTTGTGTATTATTCCTATTTTCTAAACTACAATTTCCTTTGATTTGTAACCTGAGATGAGTGTGAAGTGACTTACCAGACTCTTCCTCTGACATCATATCAGCAATAGTGTCACCGGCTGGTAATTGATCCGAATCACGGCCTGTATCATCACCCTGAAAGAGCAACATTAATGCATTATTCTTTAATATCACTTGATTAGATCCTCTTAATTCCTTGGATTGGAAGTTTAGCCTCTGAACTACCAACCACTACAGCCCCAATCCAGGACTCTTGGATTGGAAGGTTAGCCTTGTAACCACCAAGCAATACAGCCCTAATCCAGGACCCTTAGATTAGAAGGTTAGCCTCTTAACCACCAAACCACCAAGAACAACAGCCACAATTCAGGACCCTTGGATTGGAAGGTCAGCCTCTTAATCACCACAAGCATTACAGCCCCAATCCAGGGCGACAAAGCTATGTGTTCACTTATAAAAATGAATACATATTTTATGTATATAATGTATACATCCCATAAACACGCATTAAAAAACTACACTTTGAAAGGCAAATAGTGGGTGCTAGTAAAAAATGATTGTAATTCAACAATTTCAAATAATAAGTGAATTTAAATTCAATAAATCATTCCAAAAGAACTACAGTACTATGATTACCTCATCATCTTCATCACCTTCCCTTTGAAATATTTCACGTGCAATTGCATCGCGCACATCAAACTGATGAGAGTCTTCTGCACCACCTGCTCCTTCCTCATCGCTCTCTTCTTCATCAGATATTTGACGTAAACGACGGAACTTTTTCTGAAAGACATCAATACCAAACAAAATGTTATAAATCCACAAAAACAATATATTGTAGTGGACGCTTCAGCAGCAAGTTGACTCAAATTGACCTCCTAAAATACCTGTAAAACATGGTAATTACAGCAGATCAGTAAATTCAAAATATTGCTGTGCAACTTACCCTGGCTACTTTCACGCCTAAATTCTCCTCAATCAACTCATAATCATCTTCTTCTAAGCGATCATCCAGCTCTGAAACAATTCCCAACAATTTCGTAAATTTTAAGTTAAACTTCTAAATCTGTCATTCTGTCACACTATGAATCACACTGACATTCATGTTTTATTTTATTCAACAAAAATATATAACATCAAAACCCAGTGCAAAAAGAATTTGTGGGGTATCAGTGTTTCGGCATACTTAAGCACGAGATTCACTGACGTTGTGCTTAAATTACAGACTTGAGTAGAAATTCTTTCCTGTGTGGCATAATTGGTAGTCACCTGTTACATCAAAAAACAAGTTAAGTCGTAAGATGTAAATCATAAATTGTTGAAATACACACATTATCCAGAGGAAGGCCATTGATGGTCTTCATACTGAATTCAAATGATGTTCAAAATAGAGTTTACAGGCCTGACTAGTAATCTCAGCTTTTCTTAAATGTAAAAATCACAAAACAAAATTGATTGGACTATGTATATGGACAGTATATTCATCACTTAAAATAAAAATTGTGGGGCGGTCCACAAATTTGTTCATGGGATAAGAAGAGGTTCTCTGGGCCAGGAAGGTTGAGTAAGGGCAAGTTTCTGCTGAAAACCAAAACACTGCCAAAAACACATGTTTTTTTATAACGGAAGTTGAAGTTGACCTTACTTCCTGCGAGCTACAGTGCATGCTACGAAAGACTCTAACAAAAGTATGAAAAAATTATGGTAAGGGTAAAGTATGTACTCCTTTTTGCTTTGCCCCGAATTTCTTGCAAACGAATAATCGAACCAACGAAGGGGTCAATTTAGGTCACCAATGGGTCATGACTAACACAGTATTGCATTGCAGCTAAAAAGTGTACCACAAAACACATGTTTTCTGAACTCCAACGAATGTGCGTTAAAACACGCATTTTTTGAACACATTCCTAACCATGTTTTTGTTTTTTGGCCCGTTTCTGCCACGGAAAAAACATGTGTTTTTTAATAACCGTTTAAAAACATGTGTTGCTCAGCAGAGACAGGCCCTAAAACTGATATAGATGAACTACCTCTCCGATCTCTTTTCCTTCGACCGATTTCCTCTTCTGAATCTGATGTCACTTCCTCTTCAACATCATCATTAATAAGATCAGCAATATCTTCATTCCCATCATCCTCTTTGAAAGAAATAATATCAAGTAATCAACATCAATTTTGAGAAAGTTCTTACCCGTATTAATAATAATGGTAACACCCATTAGGCATGTTCACGTAAGTTTTTGTGATAAAGTTATCATGATCATGGTAACTTTAGCATGTTGGAGCATGGAGGAAATAATTCCTCCATGGTTAGAGACGACCATCATCATGATCTATTTATTCTAATGTGTGCAGTGTTACATGAAAACTACCAGAAGCACAACCAATGAGATTAGGACCTGTTGACTACACTGAAGGCTGATTGGTTGAATTAATTTATCATGTCAACCAAGGTTAATCACGATGCATCAACATGCTCCACTAGATCACAACATGGACCTATTAATAAGATTAATAGGTCCATGATCACAATAAGGTGATTAAGCTGAGCACGATATTTCATTCTAGTAGATTCACATAAAATGACTGGCTTGATTTCAGAAATTGGCACCGATCATGTAATTACCTTGCTCTTCTTCTTCATCGCTGCTGTTGTTCACATCTTCTTCTTCTGAGACTTCAGCTTCATTTTCCAAGAAATTAGAAGACATGATGACGAATCAAATCAAGGTCTCTGGGACAACCGCTACAATGGAAGCTATTGTGATCCTACAAAAATTAAGTATGAAACTGGGTGCAATCAAACTGATAATACTGTTAATACAGTTAGAACCGGTGCTCACTTTTTTCTCTCTGATTTTGTTTAGAAAATGTAATTTTAATTGTAATGTTTACCGTTTTTCTATTTTCTATAATATTTTTCTATAATTATCTATATTTTATATGTGTGTGGTAAAAAAACAAAAACAAACAAATAACCCCTCCTCTATAGGCCTATTTTCAGGCCTGGGGCAGACACAGGGAGTGCAGACAGTGCAATTGCACCCCCTAAACTGTATTAAGAAAAATAATTGTTGTATTGTATTGTTGATATATTATTATCATTATGAAACTACTGTAGTACCAGTAAATTTTTACCGGAATTCTATGCAATTTCCGGTCCATATTTTAAAAATTTTCTCACCTCATCCCCAACCATTGTGGGGCTGAGGTGGTGTGGACTCTAATGCACACTCTATTGCCAAATTCTGCATCTATGTAATGTTTAAAAAGTTATTTATAGTTTGGCCTTTTGAAAGAAACATTGTAAACAGAGATAAAAAAGTATTGAAATAGAAACAAAGATAATAAATAGAAGATAGAGCAGCAGGTCGCGATTGTGGAACGTCTAATCGCGCAACAGTGATATATATATCTTATAATCAAGCAGTAATCAAGCTAATTCCTCCATCCATGCCATCATGAACCAACCAAGGGCATATGACCGGTTGAGCCGCCGACAAGTTGAGCCGCCGGTAATTTCTATGGAACGCCAAGCGCGTCTCTCAGTGAATGAACCCCCCGGATACCAGCTACATATTCATCCCACAGTCTTGTCAGTCGATGATTTGCTTGTATTGCCGTTCGTGGTGTATAAGTTGTGTAATTGAAAATTAGAATTTTGATTATTTTATGTACTACAGTACATTTTTATAAAAATGAATAAAGTTGTGTGATTGCAAAATCGTATTAAAAATGTAATTTTATGTACTACATTTTTATAAAAATAAATGAAGTTGTATAATTGCAAAATCGTATTAAAAATGTAATAACTTGATTATTTTTAATGTGTTTATTTACGTTTGGTTTGCGGCGTATTTCAATTAAATTATTATTAATAAAACAGTAATAAGTAAAATTAGTAAAACCAATTTAATTTTAAATAGACAGATGACTATAAACAATAAATTTAAATTGTTTGGCCTATGTTATTATACAGTATTTACTATGGTTTTGTAATTTATATATTTTTATTTTTGTACTATTTGTAAAACTTTTACAGGTATATAATAAATGATAAGAATGTATGGAGTTTTTTTTTTTACTATCTTGCAAGCCGCCTGAATTAGACAGATGACTATCTGTCTCTTATACACATCTAGATGTGTATAAGAGACAGGAACAACAGCCCCTGAGATTATCACAAAGCAGTCGAGGCTATCGACGAGTACTATATTTTTAATATGATATTTTTTCAGTCGATTTTTAAAACTTATGACAAAGAAGTAATGCTATTGTACTTAACGTATTTTTCTTCAAGTTATATAAATGTTTTCAATATCCAATCCTTGTATTAGAATATAATGAAAAGCAATATAAGAATGTATGGAGTTTTTTTTTTACTATCTTGCAAGCCGCCTGAATTAGACAGATGACTATAAACAATAAATTTAAATGTGTTAGGCCTATGTTATTATACAGTATTTACTATGGTTTTGTAATTTATATATTTTTATTTTTGTACTATTTGTTAAATTTATATATAATAAATGATAAGAATGTATGGAGTTTTTTAGTTTTTACTATCTAGCAAGCCGACTGAGCAAATACTCACAAAATTTAAATTAAAACGATAGAAAGAACAAGTAAATAAATTGAAATACGTCTCAAAAATATTTAATAAATCAGTGTAAAAACCGAGTATTAAATAAATTGAAATAATTGAGTACATAAACTGAAATACATCCCAAACAACAGTACCAAGAACGAATAAGTTAATTGAAATACGCCGCAATTAACGCACTACATTCACTGAGAGACGCACTTGGCGTTCCATAGAAATGACCGGCGGCTCAACCGGTCATAATCCCAAACAAGGTACCAAGCAAGCTCTAAACTAGGATGTTAGTTTTATTTTTGGGCTTGCCTTCTTCAGGCCTTACTACTAGGCCTCCTGTAGGGGCCTAGGTCCTAGCTCTTGTTTAGTAGTAGTGGGGAGGGGGGCTAGGCCTAGATCAACACACCAGCAGCAAAGAATTTCTCTGCTGAGAGCTAGGCCTAGGAGGAGGTCTTTTGACGTCTGAGCCGAGTTGAGTAGGCCTAGGCTTATCCGGTTTTTGACTTTGTACAGCTTAAATAATAAAAAAGGAGTTGAAGAAACACAAAATACTCCATAAATACACGATATACTACCTTTAATATCCTTTTACCCAAGCCATACAACCTAGAAACGTTACTTTTATTTGTTGTAGGACTTTAAATCGACACAAAACTGGACCTGTGCTGGTCATAAAAATGCTTGCGGCAGCGAAAACTATTTATGTGGAGCATAGAAGCGCAACAACCACACGTAATGCTAATATAGAGAGCGCTGTGCAAAATTGTTCCTGGTCGTCTAGTCTTCTGCGCACAGGTGAGACCTTTTTCACGCTGTGGTAGACATCTTCGATCGATGACAAACAATGCTGAGCAGTGAAGCGTAACTAACAAAAATAACATAGCGTTTTGGCCATATTTTCGGAGGTCATGTTACTCAAAAAATCATATATCCTAATGCTAATGGATTCTGTAAATGCTGTAATATAAACGAAGAAGAAAATATTACTCACTTTTTATTAACTTGCCCTGCTCCAAATTATATTAGAAATGAGGAAATCGAGAAGTTCAAACAGCAACTCTCTCTTAACGATTTCCTACACTTTTTTTAACAATTCCAACAATAGATATTGAAAAAAAATTACTCTTTATTCTTGGCAATGACAATCGACAAATTTTGCAAATCCTTAGCAAAGAGAGCATGGAGAAAAGGGTGTGATCTTCTTAAAGATTAAATTGACTTTGTGTTGTTGTTTTATGTCTCTTTTTATTTTTATTTTCCTTTACTTTACTGTATATTTTCTTTAGTTTTGTTAAGATTACTTTTGTATTAATTAAGATGTTTGACGCACCACCTGTTGAGTGCCACCGATATGGTGTATGTCAATAAATTATTATTATTATTATTGTTATAGTAGGTCAGCGACAGTCGACATTGTTTTAGAATCAACTTTTGATAAGGGAGATGATTGGAAACTGGCAGCAAGCATGGAGGTGTTTGTAGCTCCCTGTGTTGCAACATTTAGATCCTTTTTACCGTGAGTGTTTGTTCTTTAAGATTTACCGTAAATAATACTAAGTTAATAATGTAGTAACTAATAAAATATAATAAACATAGGCCGAAGTAATTAGTAATAAATAATATAAACTTAATTCAATAATAATATAATCTCCAACTTATTTGAGTTTTATCTTCCAAGTTTCTAAATTTGTTTCACAATGTTAATTAGTTTAAGCATGGTTTAAGAAACTTTTTAATAAACGTGCTTTGTTTTACTAAATTTATATTCGACTTTGTCTTAAATTAATAGTCTTAATGTCTCTATATAATGTAAACACATAGCAAACAAGTTTGCAGGTCACACAAACAGAAGAACCACTGCAGGGTACAGTCTGCTTTAATTATGGAATGGAACAGTTTTAAACTTTAAAATTTGCCATAAACTTAACAGTTGCGCATTATAAACCGGGCCTATAGATCGATGTACACTCCCGCGTACACTACAAGAAGATAAATTGAACAATAATAATACATAAAAGTAGGATTTGTTATACTATGCATGAAGGTAATCTGCGCTAACTTAGATAGTAACTTTTTTTCTTTTTGGCAAATAAATGAAGAATCGCAGGCCTGAATTTCAGTTAATATCAACATGAGAATATTTTGTAAGATGTATGTTTTTGTGGTAAGTCGTCTATAAACTGAGGAAACTGCTTATCCGCCTCACATAAAATGATATGGAATTATTATAAGGCTGCAGTAGAAGCTTCAATGTATGAATATAAAAAATACAATTTTTCAGATAATGGACTTTTATTGACAAAATAACCAGTGATGGCGCCAAATCTGACCAACATCTGACCGTGACCGCGAGGCTAAAAACGAGCGAAGCTGGAAATTTGGCAGGGCCACTTCTCCCGATGGGGCCTAGTGAGAGAATCCACCAGGAATTTCGAATATTGGACGGATTTTGGTGAAATAACATTTTTTTGTATAACCTAATGTAGTTAGTGGCGATTCCATTTTTCGTAGATAGATGACCGTTTATTAGATTTCATCGGAGGAAAGAGTGACAAAAACAATGCTATACAAATTTGAAAAAAATAAAAAATAAAAATTACATTTGAAATCGATATCAACTTAGAGATAACTAAACTATAAACATGGGAAAAAGACCAACCAAATTGTACTTACCAACAATATGGAAACGTTGTATCATTTGTTCTCCAAGGTCGCATTTAACCACTGGAGAAAACTAGACTTTTTTCACGAAAGTACATTAGGTACAAAATCTATGATTTTCTTGTAATGGCCCAAACGGATTATGTTGTAAAAAAATATAATAATCTACCAATTCGTGAAGAAAAAATGAAAGAAATCACTACAATTTGTCGGAAATCGCCGATTTATAACAGCTCCTCACGCCGATTTAGATAGGGAATTTCAAGAAATTTGAGGTTTTTGGCTGTTCCGAGCTCTTTTCTTACTCCCTCACTCACAGATTGTTTCTTCGTTCGAGTTGGCCCAAGTGGAATCGTGGAGGGATATAATAAGCTTGAAGCTGATATAAAACTTATTATGATTGGTTGGGTATTTTTATTGGAAAAAAACAAAAGTTTTAACAAAAGAATATTTACTGTGGAAATTGAATTTCGTTATTATTTTAACCCCATAATGAAAATGCAACAAAACCAAGGTTTTTAATTGGTGGATCCTAACTACGTATACATCAGGGTTGATTTGACCTCAGTTCGCTGGTTTCACGTAGCAAACGATAAAAAGTGGCAAAAACGTTTCCATGCCTAAGTGTAGGCCCATAATAATTCCATAAAGTTTTAACCACAGTGATTGTTGATCTTTGAATGACTCAACTAACACTTGAAAAAAGAATCTCACAAACATTTTTAAATTTTAGGTTGGGTTTCTTCGAACTAACTTTAATCTGAAATGACCAACTCATAGTTTGGTAGGGGAATGCCTCCTATCCAGTGGTGGCGCCAGCGCGGGGGTGGGGCAGGGGATCCCCTTCGGACAGGCCTGGACCCCCTGTCGTCCGACGCATGAATAAGCCGTCCGATCAAAAATTTTAAAAATAATAATAATTTGCCTACCCAAATATAACGTTATTTTTGACTGCCAAAATTCATAATATTGTGGTCAAAAGCACATTTAGCACACTAAGCCATAACAACTCCCCCTACAAGGGGTTTTTATTCCAAGGCCGTTCGTCAGCAAATTGGCTCGGACCCGTTGGACATGTCGAACCCCTTGTCGGCAAATTGTCGCCACCCTGCTCCTATCCCCACGAAATCTCACAGATGTAGCTTATGTGTTGTGATGTTTAAACAACTTTGTAATGGTAGGCCAAATCAATACATTTTGAATCAAATTACTAGAGTACACACATTTATTGTTATACTGTATATTTAAGCACAAAAATATGACATCTCTTTCTGGTCTCGGGTTCGAATCCCGGTGAGGCAC